GCGGATTGCGGCAGAGACGTGTGTACATCGGCCTGAAAAATCTCTCTCCGCTCGCGTCGCATTTTTCAACCGATCGGAAATTATCTCTTAAACGCGTATTTTTCGTCGCGGCAAAGCAAACAGAATTCCCGCTGCGTTCAACGCCGACTTCCTGCTTTCATGCTTTCAATTTTCGCGCTGCACAACATCGGGACACACGGCAAAACGCGTACGTATTTAAGAGCCGCGCTGCCAATCTTGACAATTGTGTATCTGCGGCGTCTCGGTCTCGTCTCGGCTACTTATCTGTTTATCTGAAACGTCTGGTGCGCCATTCTTCTCGCACAGCTCTTCGGACCCGACTTATTATATTCTCGAGAGTGCGTCGGAAGTTCCCAACCGCTCGCTAATTCCACCATCAGCGCAGGTAGATAAATGACGAGCGGATGAGACGGAAGTTTGACGAATGTTTGCTCGGGCCGCACCTTTCGGTGATGGCGAAAATCGCGCGCGCTCCACAATTGCTTTTCACGTGTGTGTGTGTGTGTGTGTGTGTGTGCGGACGAGGAAGAAAGCGACGAACAATTAAAAACCTATCGACAGGCACTTCTTCTAATGGAAGCAATGAAGGAAGATTGCGATCTTACACAATACTATTCAATTGCGCACTGCGGCTGACAATGAAATAGAAAGTTTTTTTAATTGTTAGTCGATCAGTCGATAAATGAATGCTGTTGGATAATAATCATTAAAATCATAAAAGTGGACCGTACTTTCGCCGCCGCACGCAAATTAATTCGCGCGCGAATGCGCTAATATGATCAATATTGATGAAAGAAAGTTCGCGTTGGGCGAAACAATGCGACAGCACCGATCGAATCTGCGCATTGAAATTGAAACACATACATCTTAGATGATCAACGATCAATAAATAACTTTCACCTGAAAAACGTTAAAGCGCGCCTGATCTCTAACTTGAACTTGAATCATCAGCGATAGGCGCGGAATGCTCCTGCTCCTAATTGGCTCGGACGTCGCTCGGACACTGCTTCAAATCGTTCTACAAGCGATATTATGATTTTCTTTTTTCTCGCCACTCCGCACTCATTATGCACATGGTACTCCGCTGGTGTGTGTGCGTCTCTTGACTTGCGTTTTTAACTCGATATGAGTGTATTATGAGTGGCAATTATGCGCTTAATTTATTACATGCCGCAAGTGCAAAACTTTCACTTGCGTTTTTCGTGTCGTGTCTTCGGCGGGCAGCGACGTGTCTCGCGCGCGCACTGAAGATGCATGTGTGGTATATCTCTTCTCTTGTGTGTGCGCGCGCTGGAAGAAAGACGACAAACAGAAGAAAGAAAAAAAACTCGTGCGTTTTCAGGCGCGCGCGTTGTTTAAAAACATAAAGGCGGAAAAAATGAAAAGAAGAGAAATGAAATGTACGCGAAACAACGGCGCACACGTGTGTGGAGATGGGCTTGCGAGAAAAGTGGTTACTGGTCGGGTTCGGCTTTTCATGTGTGCAGCATTCAGCGACCGGGCGAGACGCGTACGTTTGCATGATTGCTTCGCATTCATGCACGATTATGGGTATAGCATTTATGTTAATAATAATGAAGATAATAATAATAATGGCAATGATAATCATAATGAATGACGTGACAAGAGAACTCGGTCGTGTCGAGGCGTGTCGTATAACAGGGCTGTAAACTTCTTCACTGTGTGACAATTTTTCACGAAAAATTATTCATGTTTTTTTGCAGTAACAGTGAAAAATTTCAAGAAATAACGCTCGACATAAGTGTCCTGATTTACTTTTTTTTCCTCGGTCTTCAGTTTGGTGCGCGGCGCACGTCAATGAAGGCAATGCATTCTTCAGTTCATTAAACATTTAAACTGAGCGCGTATCATTGTTCTCCGGCCAGAAACAATTTGATCGTGAGAACAACGACGCTGAAATGGCACAACGCATAAATAAAGCGTAATGAATATCGTAATTGTTTGCAAAACAAATGGCTCTTGTTTTAAGTCATTGCGCTGCCGATCGGCAGTGTTGACACAAGCCCTCTCTTGTCATCAATACGTTTAGGTACCTATAGTGTGCACGGCGACGATTGGCCAACGTCTTCGCGGCGTTGTTGAAAAATGCGCTTTACCGAGAAATGAAAATTGCTTAGTGCGATTTTGGCAGCGGTTTACGGCGAACTTTGCATCGTAATCGCCATCACTACCGCGTTGAAAAATGAACAAACACTGCGCTAATGTTTATTTTATGCAAAGCGTGCTGTCGTTAATTGAATGTTAAATAATAATTGCATAGTTGCAACAACGTATGCTAATTTCGCATGCATTATATTGCAACCTGGCTCAGCTAATTTATGCCTAGAAACTCAATATGCACGTCTTCGTTCTCGAAAATATTCGAATGTTACAAAACGTGAACTTTATGCACATCGACGCAAAATAAAACTTTACGTTAAGTTTAAAGAGATAACGCATTAATTTTTAACAAAAACTAAGTGGAACTCGATAATAAAACAAGCCTGCGTTCTGCTTAATGAATTGATTCGACAGCACCGTCAGCGTGAATTCGCGCGCTCTAAACAAAAAAAAAAACATCTAATCGCGCGTCCCATTAATTAAGTGCGGCGGTAATAAATTCGCGCTAAGTGACTTTCGATTGATGCGCGCGCTCGTAAATCGGCGGCAAATATTGCAAGAATGCCGCGGATTATCGCCGGTGATTGATGCATAAACAATCGACGCACAAACGCAGCGCCGATGTTGCACCATTTCAGTGTTTTGCCGGTTTTTGCGTGCGCGCCGATGGGAACAGATGTTGCGGATGGTTGCTTTGATGTTGTGTGCGCCTGTGCACTTGCGAAAGAGATTTGCTTGCTTTCGTTTGACATTCTACAGCGGCGCACGCATACGCACTGAATTCGAATTTGTGCCCAACAAAAACCAGAAACGCACGCATCGCATAAACACAGCTGTGTTTATCCTAGACGCGTCTCCTGCAATTCATAACGTGCTGCTGCCTGGCTCTCGACGATCGAATTTATCTGCCTCAATTAGTGCGATTACATTCTTTCAGCGGGCGATGATGGTGTAAACGCAGTGCAAATCTGTGAGTCAGGATAATAAACACTGCGTGCACTTTGCTTACAAATAATGTCTGGGATTAGTAACAGGAGAATCGTGGAAGTTAAGAGTTTAACGATCGATTCAAAACTTGAAACAGATTTTTGCCGCTGTTGAACATTTGACAAATAATCAAATTGTCAATCATTACATCATACATACGATGATATCACATTCCATTCCAAATGGCAGATGAACAGTTAGTTAAATCCTCTTTGAAAAAAAAATTAATTGGTTTATTAGTTATTTATTTACGATTGATTATATTATATGCGAGTTTCACACGCGGTTTTTTCTATTTGCGCTTTAATTGGCCACCATTTTTAGTTTTACGACTGTTTTTTGCTGTTTAATTATTAATTATAAACAATTATCAACAAGCATTTGCCGTAATTAAACTTCAACACTGTTTTTTTTTGCTCTATTTATTAGTTGTGATTATATAAATATCTCTGGTTAGTGATGCTTCTGAATAGTTTTTTTGTTGTCCACGTATGTTATGTACCGTTGGGAAGTTCGAGTGCGCGTTATCGATAACCAAAAGAAGCGCTACTTAGCAGCGGCTAACAGTAAACCGATTTAATCCTCTCTCGACGAGGTTCGGACATGTGATCGCCCGAAAATCACCGCCGAACAATGATAAATATACAAAGAAGACCAGAGAGAAGAAAAAAAAAACGGTACGCAGCATTCGCCGAAATCATCAATCAAACGACGGCGTCGGGGCGAGACGCAAATGAAATTGTTTAACTTAATTAAGCACGATGGTGCGCGCGCGCGGGCCACAGTCGAACTAATTGAGCTACCGGCGGCCGGTAATTGGAGATCACTTTTTCAGATAAATTTCAATTACGTACGCTCGGTGCGTGTAATGCGATGTCAAAAATTTGCTCGAATAACGGCGGATCCGATAAGCATCGATACCTATACCAGCCCGGCGATGGAAAGAGAACGTTTCTTTAGTGTTTTTACCGCGTCGCGAGGTAAACGCATTTAATTGGAAAATTATCTATTTCGTGGTTTGAATTTTCGGGGCACGGAAAAAATCGTGCACTGGAGTTAATTGAATTGATTGTATTTACTTTCAATTCGAGATGTAAACATAAACGTGTTCGGTGCAGCAGCGGATTGAATTCGGGCGCGATTGCGAAACTTATTAATAATACCGCTTGTTAAATCAAATAATTACGTTGGCAATTAAGCGCGCCGGCGAGTTGGAAATCGCTTCTTAATTCTCGATCACAATTAAATTTCATAATTCTCGCTGTGTCCGGCGCACGCGGCGATGATTGAAAATAAAAGTCGTGGACCTAGATCTCTAATTGCCAATAATTCCAGCCACTTATCCGCTTAAAACGAATCCGGCGCGCCGCGTAATAATAATTCTCGAAACATGCGCGCTTTTTCGAAGCGCATTGTTGTTTCGGCTGCAGTGTGTCTCGGGGAATGTAAAAATCGAAATCGAACGACAACGCGCCGCGCAGCGCAGCGGAATTGAATGCGTTGGGTCGCGAGAATGCGCCGACGCGCGCGCGTCTCGTTTGTCTTGTCGGAGTGAATGTTAAACGTTTACATTAAGACAACACACGGGCAAACATCACAAAACTATGTACTCGCTATCGTGTGTGACAAACAACCTTGTATTACTTTTTTCTTCTATTAAAAAAGAAAGTTACTTAGAGTTACTTACGACTCTTGCACTCGAGAGCAACACGACCGCTGGATTCTATCTCTGACGCTTAGATACGTTTCTAATTTCATTACATATTCTCATCTTGAAAGCGCTCTTGCATAGCAAATGCGAGAAACAATAAAAATTTATTTTATAGTTTGTGTTTTGTTGGTATTTTCAACGAAATTGATTTTTGTTTCAGGCTGAACGCCTTGCGGATTACGGCCGATTATTAAGCGGATCCCAACCAGCCCTCAACGGAAGAAAAAAGGATTTGGACAGGATACAGGACCTCTTCCCCAATGATTACTTGGGTCTTCACGCAAGCGAAGCGAATTCATCGTATCATGTCGTAAGTGCATTCATTGTTCGGCTCAAAACGTCGTTGGTGATTCATTCACGGAACATTTCGGGGTTTGGAGATTTGATTCCGTTTGCAATTGCATGACACGCAGATATACAGTTAAATCGCGCTGTCGAAATAATTTACAGGCGGCGATACAAAATTTGATTTATTAGACACGGCTTGAATTTCCAGGGCGCTCTCGGAATTAAAAATGCAAATCGTAAAACTGTCCCTGTCAACCGCTCCAGCCGAGCGATCATTCTTCATGCTGCTGCATTCGTTTATTTATTATATTTGATATTTTATCTAAAAAGCGGGCCATGTGCACTGCCAGTCCGACTACTGCTGGCCGCAGACGGGAGTCACAAATCAGCGCCGTTACGTCATTTATCGTTCTGTTTCGTTTGCGTTGTTAAAAGTTATAAAATACGACATTAGGCTCGGGGAATTCGCTCGTTGCGCCGATGTGGGCAAGGCAATGCAATGCACACACACGCGCATCGGGTGTATGGGTGTGTGCATTGCATTTTCCGCTTCATCTGGCATCGACAAACACAGAGAGAAGACGAGACCGCATCACAGCGCGTTCTTTCGCCGCCGTAATAGAATATTGTGCGCGCTGGCTATGATCTACTTGCACGCGCTTCCGTATTTTGTTTCATCTCGCTGTTTTTGTCCTCCCGGTGCACACGCGCGCGGCAAAAACGCGCTTTTTCCTATTTAATTGAAAATCTCGACGGCACGACGGCTCACCGCAAACACGTGAAACATTTCCACCACGTCGTTTCGGTGGAGATTTGCGTTTTTTTCCGCCTGGCGAATTATTCGGAGCCTGCGCTTTCAAACAACGTCGTCGTCGACGTCTCCGGCTAACCACCAGCGTGTGCAACAGCACACAACATCTATCCGTTTATTTATGTCTCGTCGTCGTGGCGATGTACAAATGTGTGAAGAAACATTTTACATTTTACACCACGTAGCTGGTCGGTTTTCGGTTTTGGTTTTTCGTGCGGCCGGCCGGCTGTCGCTGGCCGCATGGCAGCAGGAAGGTCCAGGCAGCTAATGTAATGTTGCAATGTCGTAATCCGCGCCGTTACGGTTCGTTTTTTTTTTCTCTTCGCTTCGCCTCGCGCTGCTCTTCGCTTCCTAGGCGCGCACGCACAATTACGTGCGACCGAGACCCGAAGATGATGCACATTTATTTATATTATTACCAAATCGAAGCGAGCGTCGACTTAAGAGATTACACCGTCGACGAACATTTCTGTTTTCCCCAAAACAAATCCGGACGCGATTTTTTTCAATCTGGACTCTTCCAAATCTCAAGTTGGGCTTTTTATGACAAAGCATTTTTGGTTTGTCATGTTGGCGTTACGTAACGCAAGAGATTTTTCATCATTTACGAATGACGTGGGATTATGTCGTTTATGCGTTTTATCGCGGTGCGTGTGCATTTCTATCTCTAGATAGATTTGCATTTGGTGCGTGGATTTTAATATCATTGCCTCGACGGTTTTATTTGGCCAACGGACTTAGCATATTTGAGTGATATCGTTGAACCTGTCTCATGTACCTACATAATTGTTCGCGTATTGCAGAAGACCAAGTCGTTCCGAAAGAAGTCGTTCTCGGACCTCTCGCTGGTGGCGCACGAGCTCAGTCGCGACTGCAATCGTATCTTTCTGGTCGAAGCACCGTGTGCCATGGCGTTGCCCAACTTCCCGATGACGGCGAAACCACGTCACCTGTTCTTGTTCTCTGATCTGCTGCTGGTCGCCAAGCCACGCAGCGGTGGCACATTCAAGCTTAAAGTAAGTTTAATCCTAAAGTTTATTCTCGAACTTCAAATAACTTTTTGGGGAATAATTCTAGGAGAGCGTGAGGGTGTCTGAATTATGGCTCGCAGCATGCCCTGAATCCGAGACAGGATTCCTTATTGGATGGCCAAATCCTGCCAGGACCCTCCTGGTGTCATTTTGCACACAGGCAGCGAGAGATTCATGGTGGCGTGAATTGCAACAGGCGTTGCAGGCGCAGCTTCGACTGGAGCCGCCCGTCACCAACATCAAAGTCATATTTCGGGATCCGTTGTCCGGAACGGAATGCGTAAGTTGCAATGCTTTCCTATTCTTCCCGGATACTTACCAGTGTGATTTCAGTCAAAAACAATTGGCGTGGGACCAGATACGTCTTCAGGTGAGTTGGCTCGTTTAGCATTAGACGAAACCAGAGCCAACGAATGGGGCTACACATTGTACGCGAAAGATCGTGATTCGGCTGGTTGTCCACTATTGGGTTGTGAGCGTCCACACTCTATCCAACTCGCCAGGATACGCCAGTCCCTTTGCACCGAGGAGGGTTTCGACCTGACTCACTGCAACAACAATCGGATACCCAGCGATATTGTCTTCGAATTGAAGCCGAACTGCAAACCATCCGTTGCTAACAGAAAGTATGTTAAATGTTTGTTTTATGAATAGTTTTTAATGATGTTTATGTTGTGGTATTACTTGCAGAACACCTTTGAAGTTGTTCAGAAAGAACCTGTGTAAGATTTTCGGCGTGCCGCTGAATCGCCTCTGCGTCAACAACGTGTTGCCGCAGGTGTTGATGTCTATCCTCCGAGCGTTGTTCCAGCGAGGACCACAAACACAGGGCATCTTCCGGCGCTGTGCATCCGCCAGGGCGTTGCGCGAGCTGCGCGAAAAAGTTGACTGTCAAGGTATGGAGGATTTAATGCGTCATTACCGGATGACACTGTACGCCATTGTTTGCTTGTTGTAGGAGCGTCCATTTGCGCGGAAATCGCGTCGACGCCCGCGCTGCTGTTAGCCGCATTGTTGAAAGAATTTCTCCGCAGTCTGCCGGAGCCAATTCTCAGCGGTAACGCACAGGAATGGCTGAACGTGGCGAGCACCGGCCGCGTGGAACAATTGCGCCGTTTACTGCGGACGTTGCCCAGGGAAAATCACATGCTGTTGGCGCATATTGTCAGCGTACTGCACAACATCGTGAAGCGATCGCGATTCAATCTGATGTCGGCCGCCAATTTAGGTACGCGCTTCCGTTCGATGTCAACGACAATTCTAACGCTAATTATTGTGTTTTTGTGTGTAGGAGTCTGTGTTGGGCCGAGTTTGCTCTGGGAGCCGTCGCAGAATGCACCGATGCGTACACTTCCGACTTTAGTCGAGATGTTGATCAATCATTGCCAAAATTTGTTTGGTTCTCGAGTGGTGACATTACTCGGCGAAGTCGCCCATGATAGTGGTGCCGAGGAATCAGATAGTCTTCATTGTAAGTTTTCTTTAAATTAATTTTTTTAAAACAAAAAAAAAACACGAAAATTTCATGTTTTACAGCTGTGGGACTTTCTCTGGATTCAGTCGAGCTCTCCAAGGACCAGAAATCATTATCCCGTGATTCAGGTCTCACACTCTCCGAGGACGACCGGGACTCACCGGGCTTGTTATACACAAACCCTTCGTTTCACAGATCGGACTGGAGTCGCCAAGCGGCGAGGATGCGCACCCTCGACAACAATTGGATCGAAGAAGACGAGGCATTCTGCACATCCAACGAAAGCCTCTGCGGGCCACCGATACCACCGCGTCGGCCACCGCCTCTACGACACCTACCACCCGTGCATCTACCGCCGATCTATCGCCCGCCGCCACCACCACCCCCGACGTACGCTACGGCCAGGTTGCTGCTGGTAACCGACGCCGAAAGCGAAAGCTACGTCTGATTTGTGTTTTTATCTACTGACGCCATTGCGTCCGCATTTATTCTTACAAGTATTAAACACAATATGACAGATTATGCACTTGGTGCAAGAACAACGTTGTCTTCCAGGCATGCCGCATGCGCCTTGCATTTATTTTGCGCCAAGTGACAGGAGATTCGAGCCAGATTGACGATGCGAATGCAAAATTTACAAGAGCCATAATGTTTTTGAGTGAACCAGCTGCAGGGTTCACTCGACGCATAATAATTGTATGTAACATTAAAGTAATAATTGATTGAATGTTTTCTAATTCTATTATAAGAGTATATTTTGAATTTTTCGTTTTACGTGTATAATGTATATTATTCAATTTCTATATGTAATCATATTAAGCGCCAATATTATTACGACACTTATATCTTATATTTGCAAATGTTTGGTGTAAATAACGAGTACAAACGCACGCGGAGAAGTAGTAAGCTTAGCGTTTATCGTTTTTTTTAACGTAAATACATACGTAATTCTTCCGGCTCTTTGAACTAAATATAAAATGCATTATATGTACTGCAATTTTGTATATAAAAAAACGTTTATATTATACATAGGAATATAGATGTATTCAAATATACAAAGAATATAAGAAATAAACGTACATATTTATAAACTCATCACAGATCTGAAAGAAAATGTTCCACTTTGGGTGGCAGAAAGGCAAGTGGTGACAAAAATATGAATTTATTTCAAAAACTTAAAAATTTTATGTCTACATGATATATTCAGTCATTACTTGCTAAAGTTTATGATGTACTTCAGACCAGTCATTCCTCGATCTGACAGAGTATTCGTCAGAGCTTCTTTGTAGTTGTCAAAGTGTACCATTTTCGCAACGGGGCCCTTCAGTTTCTTGCTACGCATAAATTCAACGAGTTCTTCGAGCATTTGACGTCTTTCAGGGGATTTTGCGTGTTTCTTTGACCAATCGGTCATCCAGAATCCTCTCACTTGTAGATTTTTGAATATGAGCATTGCTGTTCCAACAGTTACAGGTTCCCTGGACATACCCCCGTAGGTCACGATCGTACCGCTATGTTCTAGTGTCCGCATCAATTCTGTTGCGCTTTTGCCCCCTACGCAGTTCAGAGCTAATTTCGGCCGTGGTACCTCACGGTTTTTGAATATTTGAGTTGTGCGTAGCTCTTCTTCTGTCATAACATGCGAGGCGCCTAATTTGAGTAAGAATTTCTTCAATTCGGATACTTTTGGTCGATCGCGAATGATGCTTATGTTTTGGTAGCCCCAGATTTTACACAGTTGGATTACATTTTGACCGCATGCAGAGTTACCGCCGTTTTGTATAACAACATCGCCTCTGGTGAGGCCTCCAAAATCTACGAGCATGCGATAGGCCGTGCAGGGATTTACAGTGAGGGTGCTCGCCTCTACCAGCCCCAAGTCGGCGGGAACTTTGAACGCCTCTACGGCCTCTAAGATCGTATGCGACTGCCAAGTGCCTACCATAGTTGTCATTGGCACGACACGATCGCCGATCGAGAAATTGGTTACTTGTGTACCGATCTGCACCACTTCACCTACGCCTTCATTCCCGGGGATAGCAGGCAAGGTCGGCTTAGAAGGGTACTTGCCTTGTATGGTGTTGATGTCCGCAGGATTGACTGGTGCTGCCAGCATTTTCACAAGCAGCTGATTCGCTTGCACCAGTGGAATTGTGGCATCTATCTTCTCTACGACGCTCAGGGGGTCACCATACTCACGATAGATCAATTTTGATGAGTTCATGGTGTGCGCAAACCTCCGAATTTGCTTGAAAATGGTGACGGTTCTGCTGAGATTCATGTTTTATCGAAATATGTAATTTTTTTGTTAGGCGAAATAAGGAAAACGGGCGAAAAATCGGAGCGCTTGCGCTGAGGTTAGAATTTTATTGATTTTATAAACCGTGTGTGAACTGACATTTGAGGAAAACAAATGAACTCTACACTTACAAGGCCCCCTAACCCATTACACTACCACATTACTAGTCTTCTAAGGTAACTAAGGCTGCCTATGAAAATAATCGATTCGTAATATGCCTTAATCTATTCATATATTTAATTCTGTAAATATATTATGTATACTTACCATATTGATTGTTTCAGGTATGTATATGAACATCTATTTCTGCAACAATGATATCGAAGGCTTCCAAAATAAAATATGTAGTTTAATAGCATAGAAATCAATATCTGTAAGTAATGTTAGGGTATAGCTTGCAAATTAATAACCTCGCTGTTCTTCAAAAGGTGAATTGCCATGCATGCATGCTACAATAATTGAAGTTCTATAATGTATTGATCAATATTTCATGTGGCAGTCTGCCAGCTGTAAGAAGTTAATAATTATCAAAGTTCATGCATGAATATTGATTGCACAGTTCAATTAACTTCAGTGTACTTGCTAGTTCTTTTCAATGTTGATTGATTTGCCCTTGCAGTGTAGGAACCTTTATTATTTTTCATCAACAGCAACAACAACTTACCCTAGCGATATGAATACATACATAATTTACATATACAGTATATAGAAATAGGCCTCTTGAAGCTTATTATTATTATAATTATTAACGCGAGACAGATCAGTACGTGATTGTTTTGATTGAGTGAAGTTAATTCGCGCTGTTCTCGATCATATTGATCAAGTCTTCGTTGAAGTTGTCGTTGTCATTGTCATTTGGGGCGCCTGTAAGCTGCAGGTCTTCGAACATGTCCTCCAGCCTGCCAGCGCTGCCATTATTGTTATCGCCAACTGAATTGTCCGTGCGTGTTGCAATACTATCGAAATGATTAGCGCTTCGGTTGTCTTTATAGTTAATAGACAACTTGAGAACGTTGCTGGTAATGTTACCGGCGGTGCTGCTGCCTTTCAGTTGTCCAGCAAGCATTTCTAGTTCCAGTGCTTCGTTGCGGTTTGTGTCCTTGGGCTCTTCCTCGTCCATATCTCGTTCGTTTTCATCGTCGCGTAGCAGTTTACCGTTCTGTGTGACGCTGTAGATGTTCTCGCCTAGGTTGCGCAGCATATCCTCCGCGAACGGATCAAGATTGTCAACGACAAAACGTCCTTCATTGTCCTGCAAGCCGATTCTAAGCAGAAGCGAGACCCGTACATGGAAATCTTTGAGCCAATTGAGCGTGGCGTCACGTAGTTCGGTGATTTCGCTCGAGCTGAGGATCTTCGTGAAGTTATCGAAGACATTCTGCACTTTGTGCAGTTGCAGCTGCGTTGCTTCATGCGTAACGTAGTTCTCGATTTCGTATAAATGGCGCTGCGTGAGCTTGAGCAGGTCCTCACTGAGCGTGATCTGCCATTTGAAGACCATTGTGATAAGGTCCCAGAGTTTATCCATCGATTTAGCGTCCAGTCGCATCATGGACGACTGCGTCACATCCTCGATGAGGTCCTTGAGCGCCTGATGCGTGTAAGCCGCCTGCGGCTTAACTATTTCAGTGACTAGCTGCTGCGACACGAGGACGGAAATGATTTCGTCCAGTACTATAGGGTACGATATGGAATAGAGGAAGCACGGTATTAATCGTAATCTAGTAAAGTTTATTCACATCGTATCGATTGGTGCGTTAATACGAGAGTACAAACAAATCAACAGAACGCAAACAATGTGAAGGTGAATCGAACGCAGTTTCTTTATTGAACGAACAACAAAACACAAAATACGATGTATGCAAGTTAAAAAACGAATAAGTTTGTGCGCTGAGCGTGTGGAAAACAAAGAAAACTCGTCGGTTTGAAATCCGCAGCGCATGCGTCCTTGCAAAAAACGAAAACGCGCTTAAGCCGCATGTGTACGTGCCGGGTGTGGAACAGTGTGGTATGGTGGCATTGGTGCCGGACGGGTGGACGCAGTGCACGCATTTTATTTACGCTGCAACAAATATAGACCGCAGGCAGACACGTTGGGTATTTGTGCGAGTAGTCTCATACCAAGTGCGGAACGCTCGTGGTCGACGCCCTGCGCCTGCAGCCGTTGCGCGACGACGAAGACCATTTCGGCGCCCAGATTGATAACGAGGAACGGCGTGACGTATCGGGACATTGTCGCGCCTTGTACCACACACACGCGCCGCCACCGCCGCTACCAGGGAAGGAAAGTCGGGAGACGCGCACACCACACGGCCAGTTCCTGCAAGGCGAGGCTCACAACTGACGCACCCGCTCTTCGCATAGGCGGTGCGAGCCTTCAAACAAGTTGGAAAATCGATCCATGTGGGTGCGTGCCCTTCAGCTGCTGCTATCATGAGCGACGCCGCGACCATCGGCGAGGTTTTCAACGCGCTGTGCTCGCAGCTAGCAGCTGCTGGCGAGGTTGCTGCCGTATCGAGCGAGTTCGCTCGGCTAGCGGATGATAGAGCGCGCGTGGAGTTCGCTCACGAGCTGCTAAAGCGCGAAAATCTGTTGCCTTGCGGTCGGGTACGCACTTGTTCCGCCAAGGACGATGCCGCATGCAAATTACTCCTGCAGGAAGCGGATAATTTACCGCCGAATGCAAAAAAGAAATTGTACAACGTTTTACAACTTCTTACTAAAGCCGTAGCACACGGAGTCGCGGGCGGTAAATATCTCGGTCAGGCTTATGTTGAAAGAAGCGATGTGCTTTACGAATTGGAACTTTTCGACAGTTGTATCGAGGTGATTGCTTCTTGAGGAGACTACATTGGTCTATATTGTTTTGTTTTTTCTTCTTCGGTTGTATGGAGTTTTCATTTCAGGATTTGCAATTAGCCGCCCAATGCGCGAACGCAAACACGGCCGAAGTCGAATCCAAACTCGAATCTGCGCGCCTAGCACAATCGAAAAAGGCTGACGAAGTTGGAGTTGATGATGAAGAGGTAATACCGCGGGTAACGCACGCCGCTAATAGTGCAATTGCGTGCGCCGGGGATTCGGTAACGATAAAGAAGACCATCGATTGCGGGCGGTTCGTGGCAGCCACAAAGGATATACAAATCGGCGAGGTAATTGCTGTGGAAAAAGCGTTCGTCGCAATCGCGCACGCCGACCCCGACGTGACCGCCACGCATTGTCAACAATGCCTGCGAATGAATTATGCGCCCGTCCCGTGCGACCAGTGCACCTTTGCGATGTACTGCTCCGCCGCGTGTAAATCGCATGCGTGGAAGCATCATCATCAGTTCGAGTGTCTCATCGTCAGCCCCAGCTTACCGCTGTTAACGCGGTTCGCCATCCGGCTGGCCATCATCACCGCGCCGCTCTACGACGTGATTGAGACATATCCGACTGAAAATGACCTCCCCGAAGAAAGGTACGAATCCGACCGGTATAAAGAGATCCACAATTTGTGCACCAATACGCCGATGCGTAGCGTCGCCGACCTTTTTCGGCGCTCTGTCACCGCCGCCCTGATTTACGAGCTCGTCGAGGCGAACACGACATTTTTTACAACCGCGAATGATCTCGGCCCACGAAAGAACCGCGATGTGTTCAAGGGCTTACTCCTGCGACATATGCAAACCGGGCCGTCCAATTTCCACACGATCAACGAAAAACTGCGCTCTGTCAGTGGGTCGGCACCACCCAGCGGGAGTATGATTGAAGTAGGGGCCGGTGCGTACAGTTTTCTTTCAATGGTCAACCATTCGTGCGCACCGAATGTAATGCGGCATTGTTATGGCGCCACAACGGTCTTGCGAGCAATACGATTCATTCGCCAAGGAGAAGAACTACTCGATAATTATGGGTTTGTTTTCGCTGTTCGTAATGATCATTAGTACAAAATTGAACATCCCCTTTCACGTTTGTAGGTACCACTTTGCTGTAATGCCGAGAAATGAGCGTCGACAGCAGCTCAAGTCGCAGTACTTATTCGATTGCAACTGCGAGGCGTGCAAGGAAGACTGGCCGTTTTATCACGATCTCAAAATCGTTGCAGGTCAACCGGATGTGTCAGCTGATGAAATCGCTGCTGTGGAAGCTGCCGATCGGAAAAGTATTCTGCGGATACTCGACGCGCTTATCGGAAAAGCGCGCGTGCTCACAGCTGTCAGGCAACCCGCAGCGAACATCGAAGGAGTGCAGGAATGCATCAAGGAGTGCTACAGCCGGCTGGCAAATAAACGATTCGTTGATTAATGATATGCGCAAAGAGATTTTACGACGCTCGTTGGTTTTTTGTTGTCGGTATGACTGACATGTTGAATAATTGGCTCATCATTAAAATATATTTATTACAGTTGAATTGGGTCAGAACGATAAACTTTACCATCCGATGATAATATTTTTCAAAACACACTCATTTCCAAGTTGTAAAACTTGTATTCAATTAGCCACAATCACAAGCATGATGAGAATTGTTTTTAGTTTTTAGTGTGCTTATTTATGGCAACGTGAATCGCAATCGATAGTCGTAAACTTGCTAAACCGATTTTCCTTATTGCCTTCTAATAATAAAACATTTCTGAATTTTGCAAATGTTTGTTAGTTTGCAATAAATTTCGTTGTTTCGTCGTTGGCGCGACGACCTTGTTTTGGCAATTCATCAATTTTTATTCTTTGTTTTTAAAGTTTTGTTGTCTATTTTGCGGTGTAATGCAATTTAGTAAAATGCAAATCCGCAACAAAAAATTACGCTTATCAGTACCCGATTGGCAAATTACGCATGTAACACATACTGTCACACGGCATTCTTGCGTCAAAAATAATTGCCATTTAATACAGCGCAGTAATTCAATAATAACTTGTCGGTTTTATTTAAAGTTTTGCTTTTAGAAAAAAAGCAAAGTTCTTCAAGTGGTGCTGTTCATCATTGCATTCATTACGCACGCCACAAGTTTTTTCATATTCTTTCGTCATCCTCACAGTAGCAAACATTCAAGTGCTCGACGCCTCGTCCTGACCAAAAGGAAGCTCTGTTCCACTCTATTTCCATTGATTTATTGCAGCGTATTAGTACTCTGGGCGGCTGGAAAAAATGCCTGGAATATAGAGGTTCAGGCGAGCGTTCACTCGAAGAAATGCGCGCGGTTCTGTTTCTGTGATTAGTTTCATGTTAAATCTTCCCACGACTCACATGTCTAACATAAAATATGATGTTTTACCACTATGATGAATCCATGAGAACACACACTGCACTATATCATTGACGATTCGTAAAACACTCATTAGTGACACGTTTTCAAGACAGTAATGAAATTACGAGCTTATAAATTTTATTATTTACAGTATTCATAACGCTTATCTTGTGAAAATACACTTTTACGCTCGTTATTTACAGCGTAATAATTTCGATGTTGAATATAGTCGATTCGCACGTGGAATTTTATATAATTGCCCACTTTATGTTCATTATTCTAATTGACACCACTAAAATCCAAATTTTATCGAAAAGTGTCGCGGTGAATAAAAATGCAGGTACTTATATCATCAACGTGCGCTAACAATTTTCGAAATTGTTTTGCGTTTCGAATAGTGGCACGAAATAATAATATTGGATTGTACTTGAATAGTTTTAACAAAATATTTCGTAATCGTGTGTGCAATGCATAAAAAGGTATGCCATACCGTTCGTGGAAGGTACTATAAGCGCTCCGGTGTCTTTGGTTTTCTGACTTAAGTCAAGTTGCTTCCAGCCGGCGGTCGCGAGCCCGGCATTTAGCATTCATGTTTTTTTAAACTCTTGCCTAGTCTCGCCGCAAACGTAACAACGAGCGAGACTCTCATTCGGTGCGAACGCGCTCAGTCGGCTATCACAAGTTAGCTCACTCGCTTCAAACTTCCAAAGCGCGCACTGCGCGACTGATTTAACTTTTAGTTAGTGACTTAAGTCGGTTCGGGCGGTTCAAACTGATCCGGAAGGACTTCGATGCTTGTTTGTTAGTTCGTTAATACGCATACTTAATTCGTGCGGCATTTATTCAATTCGCGAACATGCTGCGGACAATCGCGCTGTTCTTGTGCGTCGTCGGCGCTGTGCTCGGCGATCTGGACCTGACGATCTTGCACACCAACGACATGCACGGCCGGTTCGACGAAACTTCCGCAACCTCCGGTACGTGCAAACAAATCGGAAGTGATAAGTGCTATGGTGGATTCGCACGCGTTGCGCACGTTGTGCGTGAGCATCGTAACGCATCGGCGAGAAATCCGGCTGGTCCTGCAACGCTCTTCCTTAACGCCGGTGATACCTACACGGGCACATCGTGGTTCAGCGTACACAAATGGAAAATCGCCGTTGATTTCATCAACCGATTAAATCCTGATTGCATTGTAAGCAAAACATTTATTTGCATATCAATTTAATTGCGTTTTGCTTTCGGTCACAAGGCACAATATCTCGTCGCTGAATTCACCTGGTACCTAATAGTAGAGTCAATGAAATTATAACTAATTTGCTACAGGCGTAATCATAGAACCGTAGAGACATGATTATATCTGACCTCGTCGCTATTTTTTGCATTATAAAAAAAATGATTATCCAAATAATATTTTTAAACAGCCTTCCCGCTTGAATGAAATGCACTTGATACCGGCCATAAACCACAGCGCAAGCATATTTTTACGCTTAAACTGCATTTCTGGCAAGGCGTGAACGAAAAACCCGCCGCACAATAAGCGCGTGTTTGTATTTATAGGCGGCTAACTAAAAATTGTCGTAAAGATTTCTTTCGTTCAAGCAGTAGACCAGTCAGCAATAGTTCATAAAACGCCTACTTACATGTGTTTCCTAGCATCACATCATTCTAAAATCGTCTGAGTAAAATGATTGTTTTTCAGTCTTTTGGAAATCATGAATTTGATTATGGTATTGCGGGAATCATGCCGTTTCTAACAAATCTGAAAGTTCCGCTCGTGGCTGCCAACATGGATTTCTCTAAGGACGCACAATTCACGGCCAGCATTCCGAAATCGCATGTTTTGACCGTGCGCGGCGTACGAATCGGCGTCATCGGCTACTTGTTGCCGGACACGAAAATTTTATCCTCCACCGGTAATGTGACGTTCTTCGACGAGGTAGAATCGATTAACACCGAGGCGGAAAAGCTGGACGCCGAGGGTGTTAAAGTAATCATTGCCTTGGGTCATTCCGGTTTCGATACAGATAAACGTATTGCCAAGGAGTGTCCATTAGTGGACTTGGTCGTCGGTGGTCATACAAACACTTTCCTGTGGAACGGACAACAACCGGATAGCGAGGTACCCGAAGGACCTTATCCGGTTCTGGAAACACAGGCCTCCGGAAAAGTCGTGCCGGTCGTTCAAGCGTACGCGTATACTAAATACATTGGACGACTGAACATCACCATCAATGATGAGGGCGATGTGATCAAATATGAAGGACAACCGATTCTCCTGACTAGTCAAGTACCGAAAGTCTTCGAACTGCAGGAGGCTTTGGATGTGTACAGGCCTGGTCTAGAGGCAGCCACGAAGAGGGTTGTTGGTCAATCACGCGTAGACCTTCCAATTGACAAGTGTCGCTTGGAAGAGTGCAACTTTGGTAACCTGCTCGCGGACGCTTATCTGGAGCAGGTCGTGATGAATTATGCAGGAAGTTCCCAATGGTCAGATACGTCTATTGCTATCCTGAACGGTGGTGGATTCCGTTCAGCGGTCGACAGTGGCGAGATCACTAGTGGTGAAATACTCGGCGCATTGCCCTATGATATGAACGTGATTTCTTTCCGGCTTACTGGAGCCGACCTGCTCCAGACTCTGGAGACGGGAATCCGCAGCAATGGCGAGACGTCCCGCGGCGAATTCCTGCAAGTCTCCGGGTTGCGCATCACGTACGACCTGGCGAAACCTGTTGGCTCCCGGGTGGTGAAAGTGGACGTACGCTGCGCTGATTGTAAAGTACCTGTGTATCAACCATTAGACCATTTCAAGGTCTACGGCATTGTGAGCCATGATTTCATATTGAGTGGTGGCGATGGCTATACGGTGTTGCGTGACAAAGCGTTTAATCGCACGATAGAGGACACCAACGAAATCGAAATCATCAGCAACTATATAGAGAAGCGACGAGTTATCTACCCGGAAGTCCACGGCAGAATCACCGTGTTGAATCGGAATCGGCCGGGAACGGTAGCGAGCGCAGGAATTTCTCCGCGGATAAACGCCCTCGCAATATTGCTCTCGCTGGCGCGTTTGTGCGCTCTGCGATATTAAAAATCTGTGAAGCATATCCATTGTGGTTTATTTTTGAACAATTAACCCGCCATACCATTGTCACATCGATGCGTCCCGGCAGCAATAAATCCGTATACCTAATTAGTATAAATTTGCGCGTGATATAATCTCTGATTGTAATAATTAATTACCTACATTATCCGATTTAAAAGGCGTATATTATTCGCTTATCATACAATCCAACGCCAATGCCATTCGCGCGCGCGTTAATCTCTTCTAATCTCTTTTTATTTTCGAACGTTTTATATGTCACTCGGCGCAGTTGCTGGAAACTTGATACGTGAGCAAATAGCACTATATGCGAGCGCGACTTCTATGTTTAAACATAATATTACACAAGTGGTGTGTGCACAATTGAAGTTCAGCGCGAAATTGGCATTCGCGGCGAAGATTTGCGAACGCGCTGGGAAATTTACTGAACTGCGCTCATAATACTAATTTAATTATGGTGTATTCATTACACCTCGGTAAATTCGCTGCAGTGTTGTACTTGGTAATGAAATTTAACTCATTGCAACTTGAATATTGTTTGAAATGCATATGAATGGCAATAAAACAGTGGTTTTCACTGAATCGTGAGTTGGTAATTGTTTGACAAGTTGGTAAGTACTCGTTTACGCTAGTTAATTGCACCAGTGGAGCGTTGACGTCGAGCAAAAAGTTGTTGGCATAAAATGACTCAGATATGAAATTAGTGAATTACATAATATAAATATGTGCAAAAAATCAAATTCATTCACCTTGGTACGAGGTGATACAGGTTGTGAATCAAATTATACTATGATTGTCTTTGACAAGCTATCAAAACCGGCAACGTAAACATCGTTAGTCCTTTTTCCTCCTTAGAACGGTCCTTAGAACAAATTCGCATATTTATTTACGGCGGAGATAAAAGCGCTTGATGTATTTTACAGTGTCTACCTCCAGCGATTGCAGTAGAGATATATTTTTAATATTCATTGATCAAAATATCAATTTCACTTGAAAAGCTTTTCTTTAGGAATTTGGGGACACGTAGCCAACGATGCTGCTTGAATACATGAATAGATGGCTTCAAAAACTTTTACGAACAAAAATAACAAAACGATGTTTAACTCATTGAAAGTCAATGATCCGAATAAATGCGAAAAATTATTTTTGCACTTTGTAATAAATAATAAATAAACGGCCATGTGTACACTTGTACCACTTCACCTTGTATAAAATAGCGGAAATTGCAATCTGTTCAAAGTCCTGTACGGTCTGTATGAGTGAATAGATACATGCAATAAAGAAAATTTATAACTTTTATAATGAAACAATGTTGAGTCTGGTAAGGCATGTGGCCGCGCTATCACTTGATCCAGAATTTTATGCTGCTTGTGCGTTTATAAGAATACTTTCACAAATTCATGCACGAGAATTTAATCATTTTATGCAAGAAAGAAGAGTGCGCACTGCGAATATCGCCCAGTGATGTCAAATATTTAATTAATTTCTTGCTTTCAGCGAAAGCATCGCCGGAAATATCTATTTACGAATCAATGTATTGGAGATTTTAATTATGTATGATACTCTATGACCAATTTAATTCAGTACTCTCTCTCTATATATACAATTAACGATTCATAAATGCAACATGACTACTAACTAGACGAGAATATATTTCGGGCCTTTGTCACTGGAATAATTAACGATAAACAGGTAATTTTGCTTTCATAACCGTTTGAAGAATATCGAGAGCGATGGTTACGCGTTCAGTTTTAATTGAATTTTATTCGGTGATTTGCTGCTTTTACTGTTGCCCAATTTCATCCATTGTGCGACGCCCTCATAGCGCTACCGTTACCGACAACAAATTTGCATGTCATTTTTTTTTTGCGCGCGATGTGCGCAAAAAGTCAATAATTTCGCTCGGAGCTGATTTCTGAGGCTTTTTGTTCCTTATTCTTTACTGCGTTGGTTTTTTTTTTGAATAAAAATCATGTGTGCTTAATTTTAAAAATTGCAAATCGCTGTATTGCATTACAAATTAATTTTTGGTTTTATATTTTGGTGCATGGCAACAAAATCGAATTTCTATGAAAACCATGAGTGCATTACATACTAAAGGTATAAAGTTGCAGTTGCGTGGAGTCCCACGAGCGTTTTGAACGTAGCTGCAAAGCCGCATAAAATGAAAATGGAAAGCTTTTGTTTGCCAACTTTACGCGAGTTTGTTTTGAAATATTTTTTCTCTGTTTATTACGCAACTAAAGCGCAAATATCGGTTATGATAAGCAATCAAAACCGAACTGAGTAATTGCGTAGGTACCAACCGAAAAGGATTTGTTTACAGTTGAGCTAAAGTGGGTGCTGGCTATATTTCGCGCAAAGCCCTTAATACCACCCTTTAGCGGCACACAATTAAAATCTGAATTTCGAGTTGCACCTTCGAATACAAAGCATGTCATTCGAAGTTGCGGTGAAAGACTATTATCCTTATAATAATTATTCAAGCGCCGACTGTGTCTGGAACACATCACACATGCGAATTACATGAATATGCATATTGAAGTTAAGATTCAGCGTGTCGCAGTAAATTCGCTTGTGAAATTGGGTGCTGCTGCTGGAAATTGCGGTCAAGTTTGCCGCAAGTTGCGATAAGTTGTGGCATTCTCGCAGCGGCACCAAAGGGAACTACATAAACAACACCACGCCGGGAACCGCGAAGCTCTCCGAATATGATGTTAAAGCCACACAGGCACTAAATGATCTAATCTATTAATACAAAGCCGTAATTGCTTCTCGCCGCTAGGTTTCGTGCATCTCGGGGGTCGCGCCGTGTTGCGCCGCACGATAACATCGAGAATCGCTCTTTTCCACTGCTTCCAGTGTCCGGCTCATTGCCATAAATTACTTTCCATTTGAAGTGACCGCGTTTGATATCGGGGGCCGTTAGCCGCCCGGTAAGTCTGCTAAAGTGCCAGTATAAGTGCACTAAATAAGCATTCGCGTTGCGGGGCCTGCTTACCCCAGGGGCCGTCACGTTGCGAAGCTTCCGCGCTGCCGGCTTTCATTTACCCGCTCCTACCGATGGCGCACATATGTTTGGCTTTCGCCAACCGACCAGCCCACATCCACTCACACACACCGAGGCACACACCCTCGATTGAAGCTCGCTTTGCCTGCCTGCGCTGTGTTGTGTTGTCCACATGCACGGGTGTCGCCAAACTTGCACGCTCTTCGTCACTCCCCTGTTCCCTCGCACGCTCCCGCTGCCTTCGCCGCTGGCCACGTGCATCCGTGCAATATGAGAGGCGCGCTGCGTTTTTAGTTTTAGTTTTTCAGTGCTGTTTCTGCCGGGCGCGCACGTACCACGCTCGAGGGAGAGATATTATTCCCATTCCTCGACGACGCGGCCGCGCAATTTCCACTGCTCGCATTCCACAACGCATATTGCACCCGCACAGCTGTAAACACCCCGTCAGCCGGATCCGGACTTCGGTACAGCCGCATTCAAGTCGTTTGAATAAAAAGCGATAAAAGTCAGTGCAAGCAAATCATCGCGCGCATAACGATAGGAAACATCCATATCCACGGAGATAACGAATAAATAAAATATTGTGCTCGTAAAAGTTGGCGACGTGAAAGGATGACGATGGCGAATAAACGATCTGATGCGGGCCCAGATTGGAGCGCAGCGCAACGTACTAACCCGGGGACAGCGGCCGAGGCACTGCACAACTTCCTCAATCCCATCGATATGGCCGAATTAAACCAGGACGAACTGAAGAAAATCATTCTGCACTTCTTCCAGGGACCAAGCCTGCAGTACCACAGCGGTGTTTCTGTGGAACTGCATCAAGACCCTCACTCGTCTCCGAGAAAAGAATGAAAGCATTTTTAACTACGGCCATTGATATTATTATTACTAGCCTGCAATAATTGCCTAGTCTATACCCAAGAATCAAATAATCGGATGCCATCATGGTGCCATTGAACGAATTCCAAATGTCAACTAATTTTAAGGATATAGAAGACAAGCAGAGTTTATTTTATGTTTATTTAAAAAATTATTTACTCTACGCATAAATTTAATTGACATGTGTCTCTTATAATAACATTAAATTTTTTGTAAACAAAAATGACTAGACGTTGAATACATCCTTTCCGTTCATGCCGTTGCCACGGAGCTTTTGTTGTTGCGACATTTTTCATCCGTTGCGCTTTTCACTGAGCTCTAAACGCGAAAGTACGCCTAATGACTAGATTCATACGTGACTCGAATACAAATTTTTTTTTATATATAAAATCCTGTAGCACTTGTAGCGATATTTTCGAACGTGCTTTCTTTGACTGGGTGAAGAGCGCGCGCGCGCACGTGTCAGGCCTGACCTTGGTCGTGATCATCGGCGGGGGCTGCATCCGCGCCGCCGGCGAGCTTCTCGGTGAGGGCCGTCACCATCGGGTGGTCTTGCGGAAGGCCTTCGCGCGCGAGGAAGGAGAGCGCTTCCATCGCGCACGCGGCGTAACCGGCAGCCTGCGCGTCCTCCTCGCACTCGTCCGCCTTGTTCAGCTCGTGCTGGAGCTCGCAGACTTTCTCTAGACACATGCGGAGCATCACGTTCAGGTTATCATCGCTCTTCGCCTACAAGACAGCAATTAATTGAATTAGAACCGGGCGTCGATGATACGAAGACAAGACGTGCATGCATTAAACTCTTTAACGTTTGCAATTTTACGACGGTGCCCCGTGGGGGTGCCAAGGCGTGCATGAAATCATCGAAACGTCTGCTAATTGCAACTTCTACTACCCGGAAATTTATGTCGAAAACTTAAAATTAATTAGTTTATGCTTTGAATCGGGGTTACCTTTTTACGCCGGCCGATCGGTTTGTTTATCACAGCGCCGCCCTTTGAACGTCGCTTCATCGCGAGATTGATTCACTTGTTTTGAACTGAAGACACCGCGCGCACATCCGTCGAGCGACTTCCTCGGAAGAAGGTGCGCCTCGCACTACGAGGTGGTACCTGTGCGCCAGACCGGGGAGACACGAGGTGCGTCGCGCTTCGTGCACACCACCAAGAGATCGGAACTAAGTCGAAGGAGCGGATGGAAGCGACTGCGCGCGGCGCGCCTGCATGGTCGAAACCCCGGCACAATTACGAAATCACGTGCGGCAGCTGTTGCCGGCCGAGGCAGATGTGGTAGGTTGCACGGTGTGCGCCGTAAGGTAGTTCGCTCTTTCGATCCAGCCGGGCGATTCGTGCGTGCGCTCCTTTCATACATTGGTCTGGCGTACTACGCGCACTGGTGGTGCTATTAAATAGGGGAGATCCCCGTCTACTGGGTGTTACAAAACACCAAAACACACCTTCAATAGTCTAAGTATAAATTAACATTTGGATTGCAGTAGAAGTGTCGAATTGTTGATGTAAACAACGAAAATAATGTTGATATTTTATCTTGTCCTCCAGGTTATCTACTTTAGATATTCGTCAATAAAATTGACTAAAAGTAGTCTTCTAACGCTTCTAACTTTAGTAGTGTACAGGTGGTTGGTGTGAACTGTTGCTGTTCTGTTTTCTCTCCTCATGGCTGCGTAACGTGAATGTAAGTACTAATTTTGATTGCTAGCGCCATGTTTTTTGCCTATAACTTTCCTATCGAAGTAAAACTCGGCAAATAAAACGAGATTTTAATTGACAAAGTGATATCAAAAGTGAAGCAGTTGTCGAGCAGCTGGCACCCGTCCCTCACACCCTGTAGACTAAACAATACGCACTCGTCGGCGAGTGCGGCGAGGGCTACAAGAAGTGTATTTGGGGTATGGTGTACGGCGGTACGGGTAGTAGCCATCTGCACACCTCGTCCTCGCCGGCGTAGGCTCGTGTGCGATGTGCGATGCGTGGAAGCAGGTGTTACACAACTTCCAAAACAACAACAACATGCGACACGACCGCTGTGTGTTCGGCAGGCGGCCGCCTCAGACAAATCGCACATCGTGTACGGTGCAAATTGCGCCGACTAATCAAGCTGAATATTCGCCGTCGCAAATGAAAATCTACGATTGTTTTCATTACAATGTGCGTAATTATTTAGCAACAGCACACACGCCCAGCCAGTCCCCGCATTACTGAAAATTTTCGCCAACTTTTCTAACGAGGAAAGTTGGATATAATTATGCTCGTTTGCTGCTTTTGACGTAATCGCGTTCTCTGTATGTCGCACGCCGAAGTGTATTATTGTTGTGGGCTTATTTATTGTAATTTATGCCTTCGGCAACTTTGCGACGCGTTGTTAATTAGCACTTCGTCGTTTAGTCGTTCAGCCTGGCCGGATTTGCCTTTTTGTCGAGTAATTTCAAGGGGTGGTGCTCGGGATTGGAAATTCGAATTCGTTTATCTTCCGGGAAACGACGCCGCTCTCAAGAGACGACGCAAACAAAAAAAAAACGCGTGGCGAGTGCACGCCGGCAAGCTGAGCGTCAGCTGTAATCATTAAATCGAGACCGCGTCGGCTGCATGGTGCACGGGTACGGACACGACCAGTAGCCGCGCGGTGTTTCTGTAAATGCCGGTGATGTTTCGACCGATGTGCGTCACCGGTCAATTTCTGCGTGGTTTATTCGCCGATCGACCATGGACGGCGGCCCCGAACCCGTCAATAATGCGGACGGACTTGTCGTCCGCTATGCGGCTGTACCGCGCGACGCAGCGGTCCATCTGTCGAAGAGACGCCGATAATTAACAATACCCACGAGGACGCGTTTCGGCTCGCACTTATTATCAATATATCGCTGCCCGGTTTGCGCCGGCAGCATGATATTGATATCGTGATTCAACGACCGCCGCGCACTTCAATTCACTCGTTGAAGCATCGAAATTAAATAAAAATATTTTGCCTTTGCACGTCGGAAAAAAGCGCACATAATTTGTCGGTAATCTACAGCCGGAATAACACTTCGACGCGTGTCGAAAAAAAAAACGGGGAGAATTTTTACATTCGCAATTCAGCCACGCGCCGCGCATCAATTGGGGAATTCACCCCGGCGTAAACAACCTCCTAATAAAAGTCAAATCCGATGGTGAGCCGAAACAATGCACGATGTAAAATGTTCAGCGACACCAGCAGATAAAAAGAATACAGCTGCAAGGATTAATTAATTTGAGCTACTCAGCAGCGTCTCTCAAGAGGCTCACGTACTCATCATGGTCTTGTAGTGGTATAATTAATGAATATTTTAAATAAATACATAGCATCGCGTTTTTTATAGCCGCGCGGGGCTAGCCAGCTAGCCAGATGATGAAGCAATGAATATTTAAACTCGAGATTCAAGTGGAAGTAAAAAGTTAAATAAATACCTACCAGAAGATTATCATTCTGATGACGCGTTAGAATATTTTTTTGAAGCACAACTCGAATCCAGTTCATTTTATAGCGCATCGCGTGTGGTTGTTGACGAAAATATCTGCGAATCGCTTGATGCGCCGCCAAACAACAACTTAAAGTAAAACACGTGAAATATAATTAACAATAATGCAGAAATAAATGTTGGCAACTCAAATGTTTGACTTAATTGGGCTGGAAACCAGCGCTGGAAAAGTTTTACGCCGGCACGAACCGAACTCGTGCCGCCCCCCGAAAATGAAAGCGAAGTATTAATAAAGGCTGCGATAAAGCATAATAAATTCAATTTCCGATTCGCTTTCATTCGTTTATTCGGCGAGTTGGTTCATTTTATTGAATTATCAGGCACGGAATCCGGATTCACGATTTGGAGACCCGCGGTCCGCGCGATCAAGAGCCGCGCGGCGGGGGATACAATTCAGTTACACAATAGAAATTTGTTTGTGTTTTTGGTTTGGTGCACATTTCAGCTAGGCGCGCGTCGTGTGTCAAATTATCTTTGCGAGCGGAAATCCAAAACGTCGCAATTAATTGGCTCGTTCTCGGAACTCGAAAAATCTTCATTTAGCCTTGCTAAGTAGATCGGCCGGGCGTTCCCCGCCTTCAACCCCTCGAGCAGGAAAGAGGCGGTTGCGAGGAAAATTTAAATATAAATTTTCCATTCGTGCACACGACCCGCACGGAGGTGCAATTTATAAGATTAGCGTTTTAGCATTGCTCGATTTATTTCTAAGCGTAAGTTTATGATTTTGCATTTTTCACGCCGTGCGTTTATTGATGGTTTCAATGCGCTTCAACTCGCGCGCGCGGTTTGTTTGTAAAATATTGAAAACTTCCCATTCGAGGGCCACATCACAAAAAAACCTTTTATACTCGAAACGCGTTTTTTATGCCCAGCTGCGCTTTGCGCGGTTCTTTGTGCCCGGCCTTTGTATCTGCATCTAGTCGTTCTTCATATAAACGCGCGCTGTGTTTGAAGCGGCGAAAATTGCGTTCGGTTTTTGCGCAAAGTGCTTTAATAGTCATAATTCAATAGGGTTGTAAACATATGCAAAGCTTATAGTTTTCGCGCGACCTGCGTCGCCATTCTGCCAGCGTATACATTTGACTATATGATTCGGCTTTATGCGCGCCCGCTCCGTGGGAGTAAATTCCCGATAGGAAAATGCGTGAACGCGATACGCGCAACAGAGCCGCACAGCGCGAAAGCTTGGCAAACATATCTACGCGCTGTGGAGGAGAAAAAAGTAGCGAATGTGTCGCCGGCAGACAACGTTGGGACGCGAGCGCGTCTTCAAAGGGCGCTTTCTTGGTGCCACGCCGCCACCTCCACGGCACTAGCCTCGGGAAGAAAAAAATTAAACCAACAAGCAACAGCGGCGATAGAGTGCCGCAAAAGGATGGGTCGTTGCAAGGGGAGATGATTCGAGCGCCTGGAGGGCCTACCGTTCGAAATTCCATATTCCTTATCGCCGCCTGCCTGGAATATAGAAAAGTCATCGAGGGTGCAAAAAATTTTGTGCAAATAGGTGTGTGTGTGTACGTGGGACCATAAAACATAGGAAATGGCCGGGGCGGAATAGTGAAAAGGGCCGAAAACATTCCTGATTGAGACGTAGGCGTCGCTTCAACTCATAAAACGTTTAATATCTCAACATTGAATAGACACACAGAAATATAGCATGGCACGCAGCCGCCTAGTTATGCCGTTATTACACACACATACGAGAATATCGTGTATGGTACAATGGGAAATAGAAAATATCTCTTCGGGCAGATTCACTCCCCCGCTTCGCATCATTCAGTGCTTATAAGAGACTCGCTTTCGTTAGGTGCCGCGGTAATCCAATTTTCTTCGCTGCCGCCGACTTTTGCCATCCCTGCTCGTGGTACTGGTTTGTACGGGTGCCTACGACCATTCATACAGACAACATTTAGTGGAAATACGAAAATAATTCCATCCGCCTTTGGAATTCGCGCTCACTTCCCGCAACTCGCGGCGTGTGCACGCGAAATTCGTTTAACCGTGTTGACAGAAGGCGTTTTATTCACAAATTTTTTCCCTACTAGTGCGTCGCGTCGCGTTTTCCGCATGACGCGCCACCGCAACTTCCGGCGTCTCATCTCTGCCCGCTGGGTGTGCGATGCATGTGCACGCGGCGCTGATTCTCGTGGCAATCTGATTGGATCTCGATGCGAACGAAGGTCTCGCTGACGTCGTCGACGCTGCGCTCGCTCTCGCGAAAGTCGACGCGCCCTGCGATAACACACATCCGCACATTAGCTCACACCGCGCACGCTATTGTAACAATCTCGCAAATCTCTTACCTCCCATTTTGATGCCGCCACCGCCGCCTCGGCCGCTCTTCGCTTTTACGCTGTGCCGTTCAATTAGCGTGCCCTGTAATAAATGTGCGGTGATTTGTTTTAATTAATATCTGGAGGGGGGCGCACGCGGCCGGAAGAAAACACGTCGAGGTCAAATAACAATATCGAACAACGAAGAAAAAATAATAACACAGCCGGTGTGGGAGCAGGAGGTATTCATTCATTTTGAATATGTTTTTTTCGCGGCATCGCGTATTATTATGATTATTATTTGCGTATGATGTGGGTTGCGGGGCAAGATTACATCGGCGGGCACCTACTTGGTTGGGCCTTTTGTAGGTGGAATTGAAGCTCGTTTCGCAGTTAGTGTTGGACGTCGGCCGCTTCAGTAAGCGTTTGTTCCGGCAGCACAGGTAGCGGTTGAAGTGTTGGCGGAACACGCCGCTCACGAAGTACAACGCCACCGGGTTGACGCACGAATTTATGAAACTGTAATTATGAGATATTGTAATTAGCATGTTGGCCGATAGAATATTTTCACTATTATAGGGGAATACTAGCAAACAAGTAATTAAGTCGCAATGTGTTTATTGCGCGTACCTCAAACAAAATGCGATTATCTTGAGCGCGTGCCAGTACTCGTTGTACTCCTCCTCCGAATGCGGATTGAACACGTACCACAGCACGTAAACGTGGTACGGGAAGAAACAGATGAAGAAGACTGAAACGTAAAATTAACGTGGGGACGTGCTGCAGCACGAGGGCGGCGGCGGTAACTTACGGAAGACAATCGCCAGCACCATACGAGCAACGTGCCGGCGGGCACGAGTCTGCGCCACACTCTGGCCCTGAATCTCGCCGGGCATCTCCTTGGTGCTGGCGTGCAAACGCTTCGCCATTAACACGTAGAAGGCGGCGATGATGCACAGCGGAATCACGTAGTAGATCAGCGCCTTTGCCGCCACGCTGTACCGGGAGTAGGTGACGTTCGGAAACGGTGTGCAGATGGTGATGTTCGGCTGGCGGGTGTCGTTCACAGGCATCACCTCCAGGTCGGAGAGGATGGCGTCGGGCAGCGCCAGGAGGCCGGCCAGCACCCAGATAAGAATAGCGCTGAGCACGGTCAGCGGCTTCGTCTGAATAAATCAATTAAAACTTTGCCATCGGGCGCGCGAAATTCGGTAACTTCGAGTGTAATTGAAGTTAATGAAAACGTCTTGACGCGCGGGCGCAATTTATGCACGCCGGCGCCGCAAACGACCGCGAAACGATCAGGAATCGTCCGCGCTCGAGTTTCGCGTCGCCGGCGGCGGCGGCGCGTCTGTGAGTGCCGATAAATTACACGCTAATTGCGCCTGACAACAATAGTAAGATGCACGGAGGCGCTCGCTGCTGTTATCTATATTGGTATTTGATTGGTATTAGCATTAGCATTACAATATGTGCGCGCTTTATCTCGATCGGTAATTACGCTAAGAGAAAGGCATGCGCGTGTGACATAGTAAATCGAATTTAAAATCGATCGCACGCGTTGATAAGGATAAGGTATTGTGCATTTTTCCACCCTTGATAAATGCATTTTGCGTCGCTCGTTACAAATGAGAAATGAGCAAATCGCAAATGGAATACGCCGATAATTTTCTATCAGTTCCGCGCGCGTTTGTTAATTTCGCGCGGCACGTTTTTCATTCGCATCGGCACGCAGCGCCGCGACGCATTTGTCACCGCGAACCGGCTACGCACGTTGTGCATCGAATATTCAACAATAACAGCGCACGTGAAATTGAAATCACGGGCGTTAGAGTTCACCCTTTACCCGGAAATGCCCTGAATACAATGCGTTGAAGAAACTACGCAAATAAACGGCTTGTTGCTGGAACTTTGCCTGCCCGGCTCCGCCACGTCAATTATGCAGCGTTATTCATTATTCAAACACGGTCAAATAAATCGCCTGCATGCAAAGTGTGAAACAATGCCGGCCGCCGGCTCGGGCAAAGAAACGACGCGCAAATTAGTTTTCTACATGAATGCGCGCTCTGTATTTACTATGAGCGCCCGGAAATGAAGTATTAATTAGCGGGCGGAATTACGTGCGCCACATTGCCGTCGCATATTGGTAACGCGCCACGCGCGCGGCATTACTATGGCCGCCGGTGGTCGATTGAAGTAATTAATCCGATCGCCTGCCGCTATGGCCACCCCCAGGTTTAACAAGCGGAACGATCGACTTACCTGCAGCCGCCGCAGCGGGTTGACGATGGCGCAATACCGCTCCGCTGATAGCGCTGTGAGCGTGAAGACGGAGACGCCGATGGAGACGCCTTTGGTCGTCTCGCTGATCTTGCAAAGCGCCGCGCCCCACGGCCACGATGGTAGCGTGTAGATGATGGACGTAAATGGGACATTCGAGACGATCACCAGCAGGTCTGCCAGTGCCAGCGAGAGGATGTACCTGGATGTCGAACGCAGCGGACGATGCTTGTCAGTCAATTTCGTCAAATAATCGCTTTTTTTTTTCAAGCGCGTTCGATTATCGCAGTTAATGAAAAGAGGCTGCGTGGGTGGGCGGGCGACTGAATTTGGTGGACAAAAGTTTTCTTTGCGGAGCGCTTTCCGCCGATGAGATGAAAGTTTGCAGGCGCTGGAGAGATAACGGAATAATGAATGGCAACGGTATCGCGACGCGCGCTGTCAAACTTTCACCGCGCGACGGAAACCGAATGCGGGCAACGAAAAACAGTTTTGTCATGTCTATATCTTTTGCGCGCGCCCCCTTAAAATCATCTGACCGCCCCTCAAATTTGTTTTACTTTGTTTGTTATTTACCCCCCTGGAGCAATGTGGTGCTATTTCAGCGCCGCATCGTTTGACTTACGTGTTGGGCACGTTACGCATGGCGCGATGTCGTAAGAAGATTATGACCAATGTGCCGTTGCCCAGGACGCCCACCACGAAAATAATAAAGAAAACGACAGGCACGATGTACGTCTCGGGGCGCTCCTCATACGGCGTGTACGAGTTTTCCGGATCCTGCACTTCCTTCGCGATGCTCATATAACTGTCGTTCAAAGTATCCATTACGCCTGGAAATTATTTTGCTGGATGTAATAGTTTTCAAATTGCTCGTGCGCTTCGTTTACTTGTGTTTTACGAGTGTTTTTTTAAGTTGCGCCGTTTTTTTCCGCCGATAGAGAATCGCGTCTGCTGGCCGATGCTTTAGGAGAGGTCAAATAACTCGGAGGAAAATTTTACAACTAAATCAAAAATATGGCAGGCTTTAGGACAATGCGCGGCAATGAAGATACATTGTTATGAGCGATGTTCAAAGAGGTGCAAAACTTTCGGGCGGCAGACCCTCGGTCTTCGGTAAGCGAGCCATTTTCGTCCGGAAAACGTGGGAGCAAGCCGGATGTCTTTTATTAACTTTTGTGTTAACTTCTTGTTATCTCCTATTTCAACACGAAGGGCGTTTGGCAGATAAACTAAGGCTAAGGTTTTAAAAGATTACGAAAATGTTTTCCATTTTAAACCCCGGCAACTTTTTGCGTTCTGCGTTTTGTGAGATAAAGTGTTTCCATTTCATCATCTACACGGAGATTAAAACGAAGAAAAAAACGTGCGGATTTGATCGATTTTAAAATAATGACGAAAAGTTTGCAAATAAAATGTTTACGCTGAAATGAACTGTAGTTTACAAACGTAATTCTTGCTGTTCTTTTCTTAAATATAAACTAAATTTAGAAGCGAGAAATATTTAAGTTGAATAAAGTTTTGAAGTCACAACACATATTTTTGTATTGATTATGAAAATTATGCGCCAAATTAAATCGCGCCGCGTAGTTTTTATGATAATTTTAAATTGGGTGCATTTTAATTTTTTCCGCTAGCGTATTTATTCAGAAAAGTTTGCGCATCGCATTATGCAGAAATATATTTCAAAAAAATGTATCTTCCTGGTATTGCTGAACAAATATATTTAGGACGATGGATGGCAAATATTCAAAATGTTATCAAACTTTTTGGGGCATTCCTTTAGCGGTGTGCTCTTTAATATTATCACTCCACCGTTTTGCATCGCCATGAAAATGATTGACGTTTATGTACGCGTTGCATGCATGAGTACCTTACAACCGCGTGCGCGCAATTGAATATTTACACAAAATTTTATAAATAGTACATACATTAGTGGAGTGCTCTCGGCGAAGTTGTCGGCTGTGGGAAAACGCGCACGCACGTCGTACACACATCAGTGGCACATCCAAGGAGGTGACCAGAAAACTTTCGCCAGACGGAGGACGCGAGAAGACTGAGACCATCGCGCGTCACACGATGGCCCGAGCGTCGAGAGCGGCCAAACTTTTCAATCGCGAAATCGCGCGCGCGTCGCACACGCCGCCCCCGATTCTGGGCGCACGCAACAAGCGCGCCGCGCCGCCCGCAGACGGCGCCGCGTCCGAAACGCAAACGCGTCCGTCTCCCGAAGCGTGAAATATAGAATATATCTAGAGTATGGCAGAAAACGACTCATTCAATTCGCTGGTATTTTTTTATCTTGCACGGCCGTAAATCGATACACAATGCTTGACGCGAGACGCGATCAACGAAAAGCGCGCGCTCAGTGACGTATTAAATAGATCCTTTCATAATCGCCAACCCCTTGTGTAGGCCTGCGTTTTGTTACCGAGTCGTAAAGTCTATTTTCGGCCGTCTTGAAGAGGCACTTTAAGAAGTGAATAAAATCAAGGCAATTATCATATGAAATCATAAAACTGCGCCATCCTTGATGGCGGTGACGGCGGTCGATTCGCGTTTTTTCCCAACGCACTTTAGGACAAATAGGGTAAGCTTCTTTTAATCGTACTCCTTGAGAACAAGCACCTATAAAATATGATTTTTTTCTACGCCGCGTATAAATCTCTTTATAAACCAATTTTCGCGGGAAAAAAACAACTTTTTAGTCGAGCGCTATTTAATTCACGCAAATACAGATGTTATATTGAATTCCTAAAAGTTTAGTGCAATCACGAATCTATTTTCACTTTGATCTTGCACATTCAAATATTTGATTTGAAGTTTTCAGCTCGCGACCGGTAATAAAGCAATAGTGCTGCAGGGAGTGATTAATCGGGCTGTGAAACTGTGAAACTGTGAAACAATACGTATAGCTCCCCCGCATCTAAACTTCCCCCGTGCACGGCGATCACAAAATATTATTAATATGTGCTTTGGCGCTCACACATTAACAGCTACGTCCCCCCCGGATTATAACGCATTAAACGTGAAAGCATGAAAAAAATAAAATAAAACTTTCAGGCGGCCCGCTTGATGGGCTTGAAGCCAATCCAAAGGCCGCCCTCGGCGTTCAGCGCGAAGCCAGTCCGCTCCAGCACGAGGGGAATCGGCGTCCTGTCGATCACGGTCAGTTCGTACTTGTTCAGCAAGTAGAACATCGCCGTCTTGGTCTCTAGAAGCGCGAAGCGCGACGCGATGCAGTTACGCGGCCCTGAGCCGAACGGAAAATAGGTGTACGGCTTAATGTTGGCTTTGTTTTCGTCGTTGAAACGTTCGGGATCGAAGCGTTCCGGGTCCGGGAAGTATTTTTCGTCGCGGTGGAGGCCGATGTAGGGTATCCAGATTTTATCACCTTCCTTCAAATTGATACGTGGCTCTCCAGGGCAGCGTGGTTCAATTGTGTAGTCCTTAACGCAGAGTCTGTCAGCGACTGACCCCGGCGGCCATTTTCTTAGGGCTTCTGGAAATTTTTTCTAAGTAGTAAACAGTTTTTGTGGTTTTTTTTTTTTGGTTGGTACAGACCTGCAACGACCATATCCATGTACTTCATATTGATTAACGCCTCGTACGTGATCTTGCCGTTGCATTCGCGCAAGGTCTCATGGATTTCCTCGCGTAGACGCTCCTGGATATCAGGATTTAGCGCCAGTTCGTAGGAGCATAGGCTGGCCAGAGTCGCAGCCGAGTCAAAACCGCCGAAGAAAAACAGGAGGGCCTGAGCGGTCATGATCTCCAGCGTGATCTCCTGTTTTTCAGTTTTATTGCGACGATCCTTACCAATTGCGGATTCCTCGACGGTTGCAAAGCCGGTATCTTTGGTGTTTTCGAGCGCATCGTGCTGCAGGCGTCCATTGCGCGCTTCCATCAACAAATGGATCATGTCGGGGCGAATAATATTATTCTTCTCGCGATATTCCACTGTACTTCGCACCAGATCCAAGAAAAAGTCTTCGACTTTTTTCGGGAAGAACGTGAAACCGAAAAACTTTTCCTCATTTTAGTAAATTGTGATTAAAAATAGGTACTAAGAGTTACTTGTGCCAATTTTGGTGATATAAACATGACGAAGAACATCATTCTCTTCCTGAACGAGGCCATGTCAGTCATTTCTTTGCCCATTAGATAGAAATCATTGTTGCGCTCACGTTGAGAATCACACTTGACGCCGAACGCGCATGATGCAATCACATCGGTACCAAAACGTTGGAAAGCATCCTTCAGCTCGAGCTCAACGGTCTCATCGCCGTAGGTTTCCTCAAAGTGGCTGGTGAACTGCTCGCCGCACTCTCGCATCAACTCAAACATCAATTTCATCTTGCTGCCGGTGAATGCCGGACTTAGCGTCGCTCTCATGTCGCGCCATTTCTCACCTAAAATACAAACACATTTTTGTATTGGCTTTTGCTTTCGGGATTCCCAGGGCGGCGTTTATAATAACGAAAAAACGTCACCTCGCATCGTGAATAAATTCTGACTCCACATCTTGTCATGGTCCGTCGGCATCATCTGAACATGATCAGAGAAATGATCGAAGTCTTTCACGGTGATTTGTTTGATCAACTCGGGATCGCGTACCAACAGCATGGGATTCAGCATCATATAAACGCCTGTGTATCTAAAACAAATAGTTATACCTAAGTCCAAGTTATAAATCGGCTGGAAACATTCCAGTTGCAGTGTCTAAGTGAAAATAAGCGCGAATAAATCTTAATAAATCAGTCCGCAATAACAAATCATCAATTACCTATCCTGTGGACTAAGTTTGTACATGTGATGAACCATCTCGACGAACGAGTGTTTTTTGGTTGCCTGGGAGTTATCGCCCATGAGAAACGCAGGCTTTCCCTGCTTTACTCCGAGTCTTTTCCAGTGGGAGTGTGGTCTTATTAGCTTCCAATAGATGCAGACCGCCGTTGCGATTGCAACGCAAAAGAGAATAAAGTACATTTTGCGACTGAGAACTCGCAAGCGCACTTTGAAATTTTTTTTACCAAACACACAAAGACGCAAAGGTTTAAATCGATGCAGTTCCTAGCCGCGACACGCTCGGATGAATCTCGGACACTAACTGTGTACCAACAATATGTGACACTCGTCTAACGACTAATAAATCTATTATTTTCTGTTTGTGATTTGAATCATGACCTCGAGCCGCCGCGCACTAAGCTGCGAACGCATGCGTGAAACACGATGCTGAAATTAAAAAAGTAGCGCTCCGCCAACACAATGAATAAAAGCTGTTTGGTGATTGACGTCGAAATGCGACGGTTACATTGAGGCTTTCGTAAGGTTACGATATATTCAATGCGGTTCCCACTCCCTAATAAATTAAACAATCGCGTTAAAAGTATCAATTGAAGTGGTTTCGGTGTACTTATGTGGCAAGGTATGCGTCTGTGCGATGTTTTGTTTTATCTATTCACAAACACATTGTGAAAGGTTACAAGTCGTGACAATAATCTCAAAATTCGTTGATTATTAATGTTTTATCTTCTCAGACTTAGGGAATGTTTAATCATTTGCGAACGTAAACATGAATTATAGAATTTCTAGTTTAAAATTGATCATCGGTTTTGGCGCGCGAGTCTAAAATGAAGTTTACCGTAATTATTAAAGATAAATAAACCAAATGTTATTGCAATGTATTAAATATGATTGTTTGTATTTCATTAAACTTTAATATTTTATTGAAATCAATTTTTGTTTCAAAACAACCGATAGTTATTTATATTCAAAATTGTGAAGGACTTTGCTCTTTTTGTTTCCTTTTTGCGCGTTTTTTATACATATCAGTTTTTTGTTTGTCTGGCGGACGCTATCATTATTATTTTTTACGCAGGAAATGACGTAAATATGAAATTAAATTAAATGAAATAATAATTATAGCTTTTATTTCATAATAACAAAAAATTATAATAAAATTCCAATTTTATTTGGTTCAGTTTTTTTATTTAATTTAATTTTGGTTAGGCGCAATTATAAACAATATTTTTAATTATTTTATACTTATTTCTGCATTATTTTTGTGGGTAAATTTAAATTTCGATGTACATGTGGTTGCATACCATGATATGCCGTATATACAGTATTTAACGTGTTTTAACCTTAAAAATTCTTGTTTGTTTTCAAGTTGTGCCGGCTCGGTTCATCACCTCCGACGTTTTAAAAAATGGAGCGTAAAATTGAAGACCAACTAGAATTTTTAAACGCCCCTGGAACAAGCGGAACACAAGCGTTTTCCTCATCTGAAGATGACTCCGATTCATCGAGCGACGAAGAAGTTACCGTGTCAAAGAATCTCAACGAAAATTATGAAGATGAAATTGAGAACAATTTGATCGGTTTAACCAAGAAAAAGGAAAAGACGAAAACTAAAAAGGAAGGAAAGGTGAAGAGGAACAGGAGGAGATCCAAAATACCAGTGCACTTGCGGGGTCTTATGGGTGAAGCAAATTTAAGATTTGCCAGAGGTGATTGGGCAACAGCTGAGAAAATGTGCTATGAGTTGATAAGACAGGAGCCACATGCTTTTGAACCCTACCAGACATTGTCACAAATTAATGAAAGCAAGAATAAAGAGACCAGCATTGAGTATTTAACAATTGCTGCTCATTTAGACAAAAATAATGCAGATAGGTGGGTTACATTGGGAGATTACTACTGTGACACTAAGAAGAATTACAGAGGAGCTGTTACTTGTTATACAAGAGCTGTGAGGGCCCAACCAAAAAATTATGACCTGCATTTGAGAAGGATACAACTTTTAGAACTAATAAGTAAGTTGAAAATGTCTCTATCTGAATATTTTATATGAATTTCCATTAATTAATATTTTGATTGGAATTTTAGAGGATAATAGATTTGCAATAAGGTGCAAAGTGCAATTGCTGCATACATATAGCAAAAAATGTGTTTCTGAAATCATTGCCTTGGCAAAAGAGCTGGCTGAGCATTATCATATAGAAAAAGACTATGCCAAGGGAGTAGAAGTATTTTCTGTTCCATTTATGAAAATAAAGAAGCACATCACTCCGGAATTAGTCAACATGTACCTGGAACTGCTGCTATTGAATGAAAGTTATCCTCAGTGCCTTGATGTGTTTGTTCAATACTGCAATATTGACATTGAAGTATTCCTAAATGAAGACAACAAAGTTCAGGTATTGTCATTCACAATGCCCGAGACGCTCGAGATTGATTTGCGTATTAAATTTATTATATGTTTGGTTAAACTAGATGCATTTGATTTTGTTGATACGCTAATCTCGCCGATTCTCGAAGACGAAGAGAATGTTGAGAAGAACGGCGATTTGTACCTGGACGTGGCCGAAGCGCTTATGTCCAAGGGAAAGTACATGGAAGCTCTGCAACTTCTCATTCCATTAATCAAAAGTAATAACTTTAGTCTGGCTGCGGTGTGGCTGAAGTATGCAGAATGTTTGAGTGAATGTGGCCGCAAATCTGATGCTATTGATGCGTATCAGACGGTTGTACGTTTAGCACCGATGCATCTGGAAGTGCGACATCCGCTCGCGCAACTGTTGATCAACACAGGTCGGTATGACGAGGCACTGGTTGCTATGTCCCAACAACCCGACTCACATCAACTGGACGTGGAACTACTTATGAAGCAAATGGACTTTCTGCTTGAACATGGAAGGACGCAGGAATACTTGGATTGTGTGGATGTCTTTCTGCGGCGGCATTGCGTAGTTTGTAAATATAAGGATGAATTGCGACAAGTGACGTTCCAGGAGACCATCACGGAGAAAATCACTCGATTGAACAGGTCTAGGCAGACGAAAGGCGATGATTTGGTGAGTCTTGATATTACAAGTATACGCGAACCTAGTATTGAAGAGGAATACAAATTATATCGGAGTATCTTGAATTTTTGTTACAAGAACAAATTTTATATCGAATTGAAAAAGTTTGCGTTTTATGGCCTCTGTTCTCAAAGATTCAAGGTGTACGTCTACGAAATAACAATTGTGGCACTGTATTCTTGCTTATTAACTAGAGATAGTGCATTATCGTTTCCTATAATTCGTGATTTGTTAATCAGAAAGACTACGAAACCAAATCATCGTCTTTGGAATTTATTTAATATAGCCATGCAAAATCAGGAAGAAATGAAACAGACACGTTTTCTAATGCGTCTGGGGAAGACACGCAAGTATGACTTTTGAAAGTTCTTGAAAGCTGCGTTGCCATGACTTCGGGGTCGTATCGTATTGCAAATATGTATCTACTGCCTTATCTGAAACAACAGCCAACGCCGTTTGTGTATATGCTACTGGGGGTTACGTTTCTGCAGATGAGTTGTCAGAAGTATCGCGAGATGAAGAAAAAATTGACGCAATGCAGTTACGGTTTCTTTTCTAATTACGCGAACAAACGTGGCAAAGATGCAATGCCGGAGGTATATTACAATTTAGGTCGCATGTACCATCAGTATGGCATAATGCACCTTGCCGTGCATTATTATAAACTTGTGTTGGAATTCCAACATCCCCTATATGAGCAGTACGAAGACGTACTTGACTTGAAGCATGAAGCGGCCTATAATATGGTTGTTATTTACAAAGAATGCGAAAATTATGTCGGTGCTAGAAATATTATGACTAAATATTTAACTATTTAGTACACAAATCAATGTGCCTATACATTTGTATCTTGTATATAACGTTGTTATTAATATTTATGTCAATTCTGGGCAAAAATTGTTGTTATTTCTTAGTTTTAAATGTTAGAGCTATGGGAACATGTATTTTAGTAGAAGTTTAGTATTAGGTAGCTTTGGTTTGTTGCAAGGTAGTTGCTACAAGTTAATTGTTTACTGGTTATAGCTAGCACATAGTGCCATTTTTGTTTATTACTATCTCAGATATCACGCTTCAATATTACTTGGCTAATTGAGTTTTTGCTATGCTGTTTTGTATTTATGATTATTGTTATATCGTTGTTTTTCTCTCGAGTTAAGTTTCAATTGTTTCGTTTACTTATCGGTAACTAATTACCATAGTAACGTCTAGAACCTCTAGTCGTTAACATTTATTTTTGACATTGTAATGACAAACGTCAATTTAATTTGAAATCAAATTTTAACTGAGGTAATCCTGCCGACAGTTATAATCTTTACTCTCTAATTACAACGAAGAAAGTAGAACTAGCATGAATCAGATGCATTTAGTGCTCAACAGGGAACAGCAGGAGGCTCGCAAGAGAGAAACTGAAAAATACATTCAGGTTCTAATTCATAGTATCTATTGCCTCAATTTTGCTTGCCCTGAAGACGGATGCTTGGAAATGAAGGCGTTGCTCTTGCACGTGCAGTTATGCAAAACTACCTCGAGCGTAATCAAATGTGAGAGGTGCAAGAAATACTACCAAAAGGTATATTATCATTCCAAAGATTGCACGCATTCCTTGTGCATTGTGCGGTATTGCATGGAGATCAAGCAAAGTGCCAGAAAGAAATTGGTTTTAGAGGAGTGAGTATTACGTTTGAGTGTCTATTTATACTGATGTATTTTATGTTTTTTATTTAGATTGAAGGACGAATTTAAACGCAGAACTGGAGAAACCCCAATCAAATTGAATATTACAATGACCCTAGTGTAAGCGTCAGGAGGGATCGTCTATCAACTATGTTATCATGTTATCACGTTTTTTGCTTGTGAGAGCAAATACAATTTATGTTATGATGTTAGTTAAGAAATAAATATTCTTTTTATAGATAATACAAACATATTTAAAATCATATATTGCATCAGATTGTAAGTATTAAATTTATTGATCATTTTCATAAATAACTAATGATTAGCTTATTAATTAGCAACGAAAATTGCATTTTTGTGTTTCGGAAGACTGATTTGTGCTTGTTTTAGGTGTTTTGCACCTGAGGCCGATATCGTAGGAGAACCATTCTTGCAGCAGATTGTAAGTATTAAATTTATTGATCATTTTCATAAATAACTTTAGTGATTAGCTTATTAATTAGCAACGAAAATTGCATTTTTGTGTTTCGAAAGACTGATTTTTGCTTGTTTTAGGTGTTTTGCACCTGAGGCCAACATCGTAGGAGAACCATTCTTGCATCAGATTGTAAGTATTGAAATTCTTTATCATTTTCATAAATAACTTTGGTGATTAGCTCATTAATTAGCAACAAAAATTGCATTTTTGTGTTTCGAAAGACTGATTTTTGCTTGTTTTAGGTGTTTTGATTCTGTGGCCGATATCTTAGGAGAACCATTCTTGCATCAGATTGTAAGTATTGAAATTCTTTATCATTTTCATAAATAACTTTGGTGATTAGCTCATTAATTAGCAACAAAAATGGCATTCTTGTATTTTGATTGACAAATTTCCCCCTTATATGACAGTTTTCAATATTAGTTTCCCGCAACGTGGTTCTAGTTCCTGCTCTCGAAACTAGATAGCGCTAGGTATTGTTCACACTACACTGTAAATTAGTTTGGGTTGCCGCTACTAGATGGCATTCGGGTTATGTTACATTATCCGGATAGCAATCAAAATCAATATTTCCCACTTAGTCTGTGCTGCGCTGTTATTTTAAATTCCGCGGTATTTAGTTCTACTGTCGAAAAGCAAACGATTTAGTTAGCGTCATGTTTAGTATCATGTGCCCTCGTGTGTTTGACGCCGACGGCCGTTTTTTCTGTGGCTTCGATTTCTAGGAATTGGATTCATTAATCAAAATTGTTCAAGTATTAATTCTTGAAAATAAACCATTTGTGTTCCGCCTGTGGAATAAATTGTTAGTGGAAAAATATTAAAGTGAGTAATTTCTAACAATTTGCCGAAACGTCTTTGTGCACTTTAGTACTTTATGGATGAACGAACAAAATAGTTGACTTAGGGTGCATTCGCGTTGGACGCTTACGCGCTGTGAGCGTGCTTACATGTCATTTTCATCGTTCGACTTGGCGCTGTGAGTGTCACATAAGTACGCTCATGGCTGAGTTCGTAGCACAGACTTCGCGCTCATTTATGCTCACGCCACAGAGGTAGGGCAGCGAAAGCGTGAGCGCCAATTTTTATTATCTGTCAAAACGAATGCAACTTGAGCATAAGCTAACCAAAAAATTTCATTTATTTCTAAATTGTTAAATTCTTTACAATCCCGCAAAAATGGCAAGCAGTCAACCAAAATTAATTTCTGTTGAGCTAACTGATCCAGAAAGTAATAAAATTTACAATTAAATTAAAATTTAAAAAATAAAAATTTAAATTATTTGATAAACAGTTGCCATGTTGATGATTATTGACGCTCACAATATCCAAAACGAACGAAATTTATTTATTGATTCTAAGCGCCTATAGGCCATCTCGAACACTAAAAATTTGTGCTTATAAGCGTGAGCGCTCACAGCGCGTAAGCGTCCAACGCGAATGCACCCTTAATGTTATATATAAAGTAAAATTTACCTCTGTTTTACTTTTTAATTTTTACAGTTGCAATTGCATTGCTTTTGAAATACAATGGTAGTACGAGAGGGTGAGTATAAGCTAAGTAAAGTTAAGTAAACACTTACTGTACGCTATACCCTCACATTGCATTGACTTGCAATGGTTTTGTAATATATCGTTTTACAGCGATATTGTGAGGGTATAGCGTACAGTAAGTTTTTACTTAACTTTAATTGCATTGCTATAATAATTAATGTATATGAATCCGCCAATAAAGGATAATTTTAGCGAATTAAAAATGAATTAAAGTAACAAATCACAGTGCATCTGATTTGTGTTTGTTTTTAGATCTCAAGGAGTTGAACGTGACGTCGGTGTACAATCGTGCCCACATTCAATTGCGAGTATTGAAATTCTTATCATTTTCATATCTGCTTTGTTCACGTAGCCTGCTATATCTTTTCCTTGTTTAGTCGATCGTGCGATGCTGTTCGGTACACACGTGTTTTGTTCACAAGTTGATCGTCGTAACTAGTTTGCACGTTTCTTGTGAATTTAAGTGGGTAGTTGAATTAGAATCAATCAGCAAAGACAACATTTACAATTAACGGACTAGTACGGCATGCAGTTAATGAATTCTCGCGCGTGGAAGTCAGAATTATATAGTTTTAGAATATGCGCACGTTTTTTGCCGTCGGTCGTCGGATATCTTACGTCGGCTAAGAAGTCCACTGCAGTGGCTTTATTTGCGTTATGATATTAATTTGTGAAATTAAACACTGTTTGTCCCCGTGTATATCATTTTAACCGAGAAAGTGCACGTAGGTAACTGCAACATTAACATTCGATGAATGAATTAATTAATGATGATGTTTCATGGACGAAATGAATTTATCAGACGTTATGGAAAAGCGAGGTAAGCGTTGAATAAGTAAATACTCTGAAAATAATTTAATTTTAACAAATAACTTTAAAATTCAACATGTATTCTTGTGATTGTATGAGTTGCAATAAACTATACTTGTAATATTACATTTGCTAGTATATTTGTCTATGTTTCCTTTTTGTCGTTTTCAGAATTAGATTTATAGACCACATTTGATAGTACGTGTGTGTTTGAAATGCGAATAGTACCTGTTTGAAATGCGAATAACGAGTACATAAATGTTGTTGTTTTTAAAACGGTAACAAAAACAACATTTACGCCTGGAACGAATATACTTTGATATGAGAGCTCGGTGGCTCAGGTGGCATGTGCGTACGCTAGCATGCTAGAGATTCGTGGTTCATGGTTCGAATCTCAGTTGTAGAGAGCAGTTTTATTAAATAATTAGAAATTTAAGAAATGTGGGTTGCATACCACAAAAATATACATTCAAATGTTAGAAATGAGTTGAAGAGCAGAGTACGGAGCAACAATAGGAATAAGTAGAAGATAGATGGCGGAAGGAGCAAGTCAAGAGAATAGGAGAGAAGTAAGAAGAGAAGAGAGAGAGTACAGGAAGAAAAGTGAATCGGGGTGACGGAATTTTTAAATTTTTTGGCACGTGTCGTTATAAGACAGTCTACGGTCGATCTCCCAGAGCGCCTCCGGCGCTCTGGTCGATCGCCCACTGCTTCGATGCGTCCATTGCTCCCGGCCCATCCTACAGCTACGATGTCTCTGCGCTTCATCCCCGAAATTATCAGGCATATCAACAATTTTTATGGTGGGGGATCACCCCAGAGAGAGGAACTCCTTATAAGGACATCCTTTTAAGGACTTGTAAAATATTTCTAATTTTTAAGTCGCCTCAAGAGAGGGACACTTAAAAATTTTCTTACAAATTCTTACCTGCAGCTGAAATGAAAGATGGAGAACACAAATCATACAGGATACCTTAACAATTTTTATAGTGGGGATCATCCCCTGAGAGAGGGAACTCTCTTAGAGACCTGTTCCTGAAATGATAGAAGGGGTACACAAATCAAAGAAGTCAATGTATCTTACTATTTATTTATTAACAATAGAATACAAGTTTATATTTTACAAGTCAACAGAATTCATGTCGCCACATATTGAAACAGGACGACCCGCACAGCCGCTCACATTCCATCAAGTACTACTACTTCATAAAGTTATACCGAAATAATTATATTAGTAAATAGCCAATTTTCTAGGTGATTGAAAATGGAAACTAATATACAGGGTGTTACAAAAGGAAAATTTAAAGTGCAAACAAAAAACTCTCGACAATACAAACGCCGCTCGTTTTCACTCGACGATCAGGGAAACTAATATACAGGGTGTACCAGAAAAAATTCAATGTGCAAACGGGAAAATACTGAAAACGACAGCTAAAGCAAAATTTTCACGGACACAAAGAAAAACATATATACAGGGTGTTCTAGAAAGAAAATTCCATACTCAAAACTGAGAACACTCAAAACTCACAACTAAAGGTAGTTTTCGACGTGCTGTTAGGAAAACTAATATACAGGGTGTCACTAAAAGAAAATTTTAGAAATTACAAAGGGAGTCAATATTTACAATATGAAAAAGGAAATTTACAAATTAACAACAATATTTTAATATAAAAACTGAGATTTTGCCCGAAAAACATTGGAAAATTGAGCAAAGGGTGCTACAAAAATAAAACACATACATTTTAAGATATGGTGAATATATATTTATTAATTGATGGTAGCATCAACTGTATAAGGTAACCGACGGGTGAAGCACCATCATAAATTGATAGAATATCCGACGGAAAACATCTAAATCAACAGACGGCAAGCGACGGCGCGTAGCAACACAGTGGTTAAAAACCATAAAAATAACTATTTCTTTGTAAATATTAAGATATACTGAGATTGCGAAAAAGAAAAACTATTCACCGTTTAAGATTTTATTTCAACAAGAATTATTAATTTAATGATGCAATTCGATTAAAAATGTTTACGTGATCCTCGAAAACATGACCGAACGGACGGCCGGCGGCAAAGTAAGCGTGGTCGACCACATGAATATTGTCATTTTAATAATCCTCAGATAATTTTAAAACCGTGCTTGTAATAATTAAATGAAGCATGTTATTGAAAAATCAATTTAAGTTAAACCTCCTAACTTTCCGCAAAAATTTTAATTGTCTACCCACCTGTGCATTGATGAGGAGATTTTCTATCCTGTAATATATTCTATCAACTGAAAACTGGCACAGGGATTAACGGACACTTATTTCTAACTTACGAAGACTCTAATCGCCATAAATCATTAAACAAAACATTCACACATGCATATTGCGAACATTTTGTCGATGGTCGAAAGAATACACGACGATTAATCCAATTAAAACCTCAAAACGCGTGGCGATTAGAGAGACACGCTCGCGGACCACGCGGTTTAACAACTGCCGTGTGCGCTGCGCGTAGCGGGGTACAAGGCAGGTATGCAGGGATATCACGCGTCAGTCGTACAAAAAAAGTTGTTTATACCCAAACGTACTGATAAACACGTAGTTGAGAAGACGAAACTAAAAATTTACAATGTTGAAATACACATACACGAAATTTACTTTTACTTTCAATATTTCTCGGCATATGAAAAGAATAAGTTAGTTGAATTGGAAATTTAAGAGATAAAATTTTAATTCATAAGAAAAAATAGGCAGTGAATATCTTCTAAACTAAAAGAGGTAGCAACTAGGAAATTATAGATTATGGAAGATTTGGAAATTTTCAATCAGACGGAAATTTAAAATAATTTTTTTAATGGGGTAAAAAGTCTAAAACCGCGACTGGAAGTGCTCGAAATGCAATTTTTCAAGTGCCGCCCGACGGCATCGCACAGGCATGGGCGAAGGACATTGAAATTTCGTTTTAAAAACAGTGTATGAGCAATATTTAATTGTCAATGCGATTTCAGAATTAAAAATACAAAAGAATAATACCAGACATTTTGTAGAGAGACTGAAAACGCATCCGTGACTGACCGTTGACCGTTGATTATGAAAGATTGGATGATTCTCTATCAGACAAAAATATAAAATAATTATATTTCCTACAGTAAAAGGTCGAAAACGCGACTAAAAGTGCTAAAAGTGACATTTTGCAATTTTTGCCCATTTTATTCAATCGCGAATATCTCGTAAACTAAAAGAGATAAATAGGATCTGATCGCAGCGTCTTAATCTACGGACCATTCTCTATCAGATAAGATAGTTAAAACAGAAATCTGTAAGATGAAATTTTAAATCTTAAGAAAAAAATCGCCAAGGGGGGGTGCTTGATTCTTTTTTTCGACGATTTTCAAAAATTAATATCTTTTAAACTAAAAGAGATAGCTACCAACGAATTGTTGATTATGAAAGATTGGAATATTCTCTATCAGATAAAACTATAAAATAATGATAGTTCCTACAGTAAAAGGTTGAAAAACGCGACTAAAAGTGCTAAAAAGTGACATTTTGCAATTTTTGTCGATTTTATTCAATCGCGAATATCTCGTAAATTAAAGGAGATAAATAGGATCTGATCGCAGCGCCTTAATCTACGGACTATTCTCTAACAGATAGGATAGTTAAAACAGAAATCTGTGAGATGAAATTTTAAATCTTAAGAAAAAAATCGCCAAGGGGGGGTGCTTGATAATTTTTATCGACGATTTTCGATTATTAATATCTCGTAAACTAGAAGCGCTAGCAACCAGAAAATTGCTGATTAGGAAAGACTGGAAAATTTTCTATCAGATACAAATATAAAATAATTATATTTCTTACAGTAAAAGGTCGAAAAACGCGACTAAAAGTGCTAAAAAGTGACATTTTGCAATTTTTGTCGATTTTATTCAATCGCGAATATCTCGTAAATTAAAGGAGATAAATAGGATCTGATCGCAGCGCCTTAATCTACGGACTATTCTCTAACAGATAGGATAGTTAAAACAGAAATCTGTGAGATGAAATTTTAAATCTTAAGAAAAAATCGACGCCAAGATAGGGGTGCTTGATAGGTTTTTTCGACGATTTTCGTAAATTAAAAAGATAAATTCATATCTCTTAAACTAAAAGACGATTTTCGATAATTAATAGCTAGAACCAACGAAATTTGCTGATTATGAAAGACTGGAAAATTCTCTATCAGATAAAACTATAAAATAATTATATTTCTTACAGTAAAAGGTCGAAAAACGCGACTAAAAGTGCTAAAAAGTGACATTTTGCAATTTTTGTCGATTTTATTCAATCGCGAATATCTCGTAAACTAAAAGAGATAAATAGGATCTGATCGCAGCGTCTTAATCTACGGACCATTCTCTATCAGATAGGATAGTTAAAACAGAAATCTGTAAGATGAAATTTTAAATCTTAAGAAAAAAATCGCCAAGGGGGTGCTTGATACTTTTTTTCGACGATTTTCAAAAATTAATATCTCTTAAACTAAAAGAGATAGCTACCAACGAATTGTTGATTATGAAAGATTGGAAAATTCTCTATCAGATAAAAATATAAAATAATTATATTTCCTACAGTAAAAGGTCGAAAAACGCGACTAAAAGTGCTAAAAAGTGACATTTTGCAATTTTTGTCGATTTTATTCAATCGCGAATATCTCGTAAACTAAAAGAGATAAATAAGATCTGATCGCAGCGTCTTAATCTACGGACCAATCTCTATCAGATAGGATAGTTAAAACGGAAATCTGTGAGATGAAATTTTAAATCTTAAGAAAAAATCGCCAAGGGGGTGCTTGATACTTTTTTCGACGATTTTCGATAATTCATATCTCTTAAACTAAAAGCGCTAGCAACCAACGAATTGTTGATTATGAAAGACTGGAAAATTCTCTATCAGATAAAAATATAAAATAATTATATTTCCTATAGTAAAAGGTCGAAAAACGCGACTAAAAGTGCTAAAAAGTGACATTTTGCAATTTTTGCCTATTTTATTCAATCGCGAATATCTCGTAAACTAAAAGAGATAAATAAGATCTGATCGCAGCGTCTTAATCTACGGACCATTCTCTATCAGATAGGATAGTTAAAACAGAAATCTGTAAGATGAAATTTTAAATCTTAAGAAAAAAATCGCCAAGGGGGGGTGCTTGATTCTTTTTTTCGACGATTTTCAAAAATTAATATCTTTTAAACTAAAAGAGATAGCTACCAACGAATTGTTGATTATGAAAGATTGGAAAATTCTCTATCAGATAAAACTATAAAATAATTATATTTCCTACAGTAAAAGGTCGAAAAACGCGACTAAAAGTGCTAAAAAGTGACATTTTGCAATTTTTGTCGATTTTATTCAATCGCGAATATCTCGTAAACTAAAAGAGATAAATAGGATCTGATCGCAGCGTCTTAATCTACGGACCATTCTCTATCAGATAAGATAGTTAAAACAGAAATCTGTAAGATGAAATTTTAAATCTTAAGAAAAAAATCGCCAAGGGGGTGCTTGATAATTTTATCGACGATTTTCGATAATTAATATCTCTTAAACTAGAAGCGCTAGCAACCAGAAAATTGTTGATTATGAAAGATTGGAATATTCTCTATCAGATAAAACTATAAAATAATTATATTTCCTACAGTAAAAGGTCGAAAAACGCGACTAAAAGTGCAAAAAAGTGGCATTTATCAATTTTTGCCTACTTTATTCAATCGTGAATATCTCGTAACCTAAAAGATATAAACAGGATCTGATCGCAGCGTCGTAATCTACGGACTATTCTCTATCAGATAGGATCGTTAAAAGGGAAATCCGAGAGATGAAATTTTATGTCTTAAGAAAAAAATTGCCAATCTTTTAAACTAAAAGAGATAGCAACCATAAAATTGCATATTATGGAAGACTGGAAAATTTTCAATCATAGAAATAATTTATTTTAATGGGATAAAAGGTCTAAACACGCGACTGAAAGTGCTAAAAATTGACATATTTCAATTTTTGACGATTCATATCAATTGCGAATATTTCGTATACTAAAAGATATAAAAAGGAACGAATGACAGAGTCTTAATCTATAGATAATTCTCTAGAAAATAAGTTAGCTAAACCCCTCATGCGCTATCAGAATCCGATAAAAAGTTTGATCATTTTACAAAGGTTTTCCGCACTATGATCCGTTTTCCATATTACCATTATGTAAAATTTATACGACCCCCCTAATTTGTGGGATATTGCAATACGCAGGTAAAATGTGATAAAACATTTAACTGAATAATATAACTTAATTATAAACTTACCAATGCAGCGCTCCTCGGATTGCAAGAATACGGCAAGTACTGTAATTAAAAGAAAACATAAGTTAAAACAAAAACATTTCATACAATATGATAATATTATATTCACACATGGGAGAAAACAAACTTTCTGTGCTGAGTATCGCAATGGTCAGATAAAAGTAACTTACTTAAGCACGAATAGGTTTCCAATTGATCTAGCAATCGACCACGTCCCACAATAACCGACAATAAAACCGCAGCATTTGAATTTGAAATATAAACATTAAAAGCAAGCGAAAAAAAATTAGGCACATTAAACGCACAATTACTTATTAGGAAAACACTGCAGATGCATATTACGACTCAGTCAATAGATAACCGAATATAATGCAAATTTTGAAAATAAAAGTCTGATAAAACGTTTGGACATGGCAGAGAGCGGCACGAAACTAGCTGCAATCCATCAATAGAGCGTGCCGAAACTGCGCACGCAAAGATGCGACAGTTCACAATAGGATCCTGTGCCTGCTGCATATCCCCGGCAGGTACAAGCAATAGATGCGCAAAGCCAGCGCGTCGATGTCACGCGACCTTGTGCACGAATTGCAATAGACACGGTACTTGTGATAAGAACTAAACTAAAATGTGCTGCATGCGACAGCGCGACGAGAATCTTATGCGTAGCATCTCGCACGGCGAATGCGATAAGAAAGTTGTTTATAGACAAACACTGATAATAGAACTGTCTTCAAAACTAATACAATACATTTTATGATTTAGTTCATTCTAGTGAACTAAAATTTAAATCATGAAATTATGATTTATGATTTGAGTTTTATTAAAGCAAAGATTTCCGCGAAAGATATCAATTTTCTAATTGCAAGAAATCAGGAAAACAGATATTATAAATGATGAAAAATTTTACTTACCAGTGTATCGAACACCGCAAATCAAATGTGAGTAAATACTGAAATAAAGAAGAAACAAAATATTAGTTACAATGTTTACCATAAATTTCGTGTTGTTCTCCATAATTATTTAAATTAGTATTCGTACCAGGTAACACTATGACCCAACGGGTTGTGCAGAAGTCAAAAATGGTTAGCACAACTCCAAAATATTATTTATAATCACACACAAAGTCTGCCGGCCGGCGTCCGACGACAACCCATCAGAAATTCACGCGAAATTGTAATAATCACACAAAATATTGACTTCCGAAGATTACATACGCGATAAATATTTACCGAATGACAATTAACACTAAATTCTATAAAATAAAACGCGATATACCGAATTTACAATGAGAAACACGAATACTCGACGGAGTATTCTTATCTGCCGCACGAAGTAAGAGCTGCGTGCCGGCATAACAACTGTGCACGTCGACTTTCACTCGCAGTATTATTAGTTAAAACATGCATCGTAGCGCTTCCTGAGAATACTTTATTGTACCTCCAGAAAATACAAAGCGTTTCAAAAAGTATGGCGTACATATGAGGCAGTGAGCGATTGCGTATGAGTCAGTGAATGGTCACGCACTTAAGTGGCCGTGTCCGTGTATCACACGTACACGAGAATGCGCATGCACCACCCTATCTAAACAAATAGCAATTTTTGCACATAACTCAAAACCACAAATATATAAGTCAATAGGATATACTTATTCAAAGTAAATGAATCTAATTATAATATTATTACAATTATTATTATATTATTAAGTGATTCTAAACTATTTAATGGGGGTAGACCTTTTACCCCGCGACTGAAACTGCTAAAAATTGAAATTTTTCAATTTTTGACGAGGAACGAATCACAAAGTCTGAATCTACGGAAAATTTTCTATAAAATAAGGTAGTTAAATTGGAAATTTAAGAGATGAAATTTTAATTCATAAGAAAAAATGAGCAAGGGGATGCTTGATAATTTATTTCCTCGATTTTTGACAGTGAATAACCCGTTAACGCGACTGCAGAATTAGGAAATCAAAAGAACTGCGAAAAATACGTGCAATTAAACCTACGATCGACATGGATTAACCCGCAATCTGCAGTGTCACTGGAAACGCATCCGACGGTACGCATTAATTTTTAGTTACTACGGTACTCTCGTTACAAACGATTTGAGATAAAAATGTAATTGTAGTGTGAAAATGTTTACAAACCTAGTAAGTTTACATAGGGTAATTACAGAAAGTACTAATACAGAAAGAGCACGTGTTCTACAACTTGCACTATGCTGCACATTTGCTAAGTCCGTTCCGTCGGATAACGAACTTGAAAGACAAGTGCTATTTTGATCGACTTTTTGATCGGATTTTAATTATACGAGCTATGGTACTTACTCGAAATTATCAACAGAACACATATTTCCAATTCCAATCCTCAGCATCTAAGTAATCCAATAGCCGTCGAAACAGAAATACAGAGATAAACACACGAGTTTATAATCATTACACGCGGAACTCATCTTTAGCAAAACACTGGACACGTCTATTGTCATTAAAGGCCGATATTAATTGATAAAATGTAATACAATTAATTTAATCCAAAATATTGAAAGAACGGTACCACGCAGCGTGAATATAAGAGCAGACTGAAACGTTGGAACGTTCGTAGCACGAGCGCCAGCATTGGTTTAGTTCACAGCGGTAAAAAAGTTGTTTTTCCTTTAAAACAAGGTGACTTGTTTTGATATTGCTTATTTCAGCATTTACATAGTTCCTAGCAATTTTATAGGTGTTATACTCATTTTGAGTTGGATTACTCCTATAGGGTGTGCTGCGATTGCGTACATTAATTTTACATTATCATTTCGCAAACGGTGCGCACGAATGTGTAACAAATTACAATTATAAAGTAATTAAGAACCCCTCTATACAATGGTACTGTTAATTGTTAATAATAAATACAACCACCTGATAAAATAAAATGTCGACCAGATTCGACAATCAATTAGCTTAAAATTAGTATATTATCTGATACATTTTATTTACAAGAATAAGAAAATTATGATAAATGATAGTACTCGTCAGGAATAAATGTACTTATCATAATCTTATCACCTATCTTATATTACAACTGTTATAAATATTTCAGAATAACTATTTAGTACTATATAGATATATATTAATTATCGGTGTCAAAAATTAATGCTCTACAAAATATGATATCCTACAATTAGATTTTCTTATGCTACCACTAAAAACAGGAAATATCACAGATTTGTGTACACTTTGCCTTGAAAACAGTACAAAATAGGTATAAAATGGTTTAAAATGACCAAATAAATCTGCTTCGACAAAAATAGAATTGTGCAATATACGTTGTTCAAGAAACCGATAGATTGCAACGCAGGCAGAATCGCACCAATATCACAATCACAAGTTTATAAAGTTAATAGTTCAATGAATATTTGCAATCATGCTACAAACGCAAACAGAAATAGACGTAAGACTTTCATCATTTCTTTTTTTGGACATTTGCTTCAGTCTGAAAATTAACATGGTATGACATGGATTTTTAATTGAATATGTCGCGCTATTTCTATTATAATATAATATTTCGATTATTATATTATAATATTGAAATATACGTAGAAATTAGCGACGAAGCGCATATGCAAAGCAAACAAGAGATGCAAGAACTGAAGACAATTTGATATCAGCCCCCGCGCTGGTAAACCTGATAGACTTGTGACCCGACCCCTCATCGCTCTCGAGACGCTTATAGTTCTTCGAGCAGCCCATCCAGAAAGGACCAGAATCCATTTGTTCTGGCTTTTCAACTCTCATTAGCATATCATTGAACTTCCAAAATCCTTTACCTTTGAAAAAGTAAAGTTTACCTGAAAATATTTCAAAAGCAATTAGTAATATGAACGATTTTGCAGCGAATGAAGAATTACGTACCATCTTTCCATAAGAACACGGCATCAATATCGGTTCCAACGCCTGTCCACATGTCCATTGAACGAGGATAATCAAGCTCCACGCGTTCCAACTCTTCGTCATATCTAAAAAATATAATCAAGAATCAACAATAAAATTAGAAAGATATTGCACATCGTCCTATATTAGTTTACCTCCAGTAGCGATTTCCGCTGAAAAGAACGTTTTGCCGTTGTGTCCCCATACGGTAGCGCCATCAATCTTTTTCAGGTCAGCCGGAAGTCCTAACGACGTCAACGGTTTCGGATATCCGCGTTCCAGAGTATTCCCAGTGAAGACGTAGATAAGTTGGTCAATGAAAAACACTATCTTGTCATCAGGGCGCTCGTACACAGCATCCACGTGGGTGAAATTCCGCGGCAGACCACTCCACATCCTAGTAATCTCAACTGGATAACCACGAAGGAGACCACTGTCCGCAATCCGCCAAAAATGCTGCGTGATATTGATAAATAAAACAAAGAGCCCATGATTGAGTGGTAAAAACAGTTTAAAAACTCACAGCGTCTTTGAAAATAAAAACTTCTCGCCGTATAACGGCGACTGCATCGTATGACGTATTGCAGGTGTCGGGTGGTGGTGGCTTGCGAGGATCCTTGGATGTAGAATGCCGCCGGCGGTGTGGTTGTGTGGTTGGCTCAGGCGTCGTGGTCGTCGTCGTCGTTGTCGTGGAAGTGGTCGTTGTATAGTAAGGCTTGCCGGGGTATTTCGGGTGGTTGGTCTTGCGCGGATTATACACTTTGTGCGTATGATAAGTACGCGTGCGATCTCGGTACCGCACCCGCGGCCGAGGTGTGGTCGTCGTGGTCGTGGTCGTTGTCGTGAAATGGTATTTCGGTATTATACCCCATTGTTTCTCAACCCTAGCGCCTAATTAACAACAAATGCAAGCCGTTTAATCACCAGGTAATAGGAAGCGCTTGTGGTTGTTCAATACCGTAAAGCTGCTGAATGCCGGCCCGGTCGTCCTCGGGCAGCTCGTAATCGAAGGAGTTCTGAATCCGTTGATAGAAAGGATACATCAAGGCGCCCTCGACGGGTGTGTGCTGAAGTCCAAGCGAGTGACCAAACTCGTGTGCTGCCACGTGAAACAGACTGGTGCCTGAGAAACACAATAAGAAACAATGAGAAAAACGTGACGCAACGTGAGACCAGAATAAAATCCTATATTCACGCGCATACGTTGATTGTTCGTTATAATACGATTGTAGTGCATTCTCGCACTGAGAGAGAACACTTAAAAAGTTTGCCTACCGCCATTTGCATGCAGCCAGCCGCATGCATTGCCTCGCAAAACAAAACAACACGCTGACAATGGGCCGAAGGAAAGATAATTATAATTGGATCGTTGCCCCCAACCGCCCCGGCCAGACGCGAATTCAAGCAATTTATTCACAATCAACGCCAGCCTCGAGAGACGAGCACCCGTCCCGTCCCGCTACGCATTTCATTTCGAAACTCAAGTGTAATCCTTCAAAGGATAAATCGTGTCTTAACAACGATAATCATCATAATAAGAAAATATAAGCGCGAGCGTCGAGGGAAGTAACTCTCATCACATCGACCGAATGCATATTTCCTCTATTGTACGAATGTCACGAGCAAAGTTTCGTCATCGCGCATAGTTTTCAGCCCGAAACGAAACGTACCCGGATCGTGAGCGGAAACGCGCACCGCCGATCCTCGCTGCGACGTAACAAGAAGCCGCCGACGAATTATGATAACATTACAGAATAGAAAACACTAGATGTCGGGAATGAATAGATAGATTTCAAAATGAGAGTAGGAAGTAGAAAGCTATATTGCAATGTCAAAGCCGCACCACGCCTTGGCAGCAGGCTGGGTTCACTTGGGGGTGCATTAAAGTTATTAAAAGGAATGTCTGACATGTTATGACTGCAAAGAATGTGTGCACAAACGAACGGAAACGCGATACGCATGGATATGGAAAATGGAAGAAAAACTTCATACCTAAGATTGTTGACAGACAATAATGCGGATGAGAAAAGTTGGAAAGCAAAGAGGTTCGAGCGGTAGCAGCAGCGAGAGACGTGATTTGAACTTTCGCAACGATTTGAGTTCAATGCGTGTACAGTGTACACTCTATTTGCAATTAATTATAAACGACCCTCTTCTTGGCGCGTCGAAGTGTACCAAATTTTCATTAAGATAAAAACATATAATCGCGCGCTCGAAAGCCCCCTGCGCGCAAAATAATTTAAGTTAGACAAATGATAAGTGGCGCGAAGAAAAAAACCTATAGCCGATTTTCGCGCCCCGCTTATTTTCGCGCGTTTAATTCATCGCGTCGGATTAAATACGATTACCCTTGATGTAGAAGTGGAAGATCCACGCAACGAAGCAGTTTGTCGTCCAGCCGCACATGCTTGGCTCTTGGTGGTGGCGTGTGAAAATCCGAAATTGCCAAAGCGATGAGATGCGGTCCACCCCCGAGCGAGCGGTATTTCGACGCGGGCGAAAATTACATTTCCTGTCTTCAACGCGACGATCACACTTTAAGCCACTTTAATTAAATGCAAACCGCGCACATATAATAAAAGAGATTCGGCGTGCTGCAAGCGAATTAAAAATTGGAATTCGTTTAGGTCCGATTGGCACGTTTGCGATCACGTCCGCGAGCGAAACGTGCTCGCGGCGATCGCTAGAGAGCTAGTTTGCAAATAGTCGACAAAATTTGGTTTCGACTAAAATCGGATCGCGGATCACGATATTGCGTCAGGCAGGACTGCGCCGAGATATTATTGGCGTCTTGCTAATACTGTATTTAATGTATATTTGTGTAATACGGCCGCTGTTAAAATTTTACGGGTTTATTTATACGCCGCACGTGAGTTGCACTCAGGCCAAGTCAAAAATTTGAATGCGGGAAACGTTGCCGAAAATGTTTCACAAAGTGCGCGCCTATTATGATGTTTTTACCCCGAAAAGCCAACGAATTAATCGACTCGGTCGTGCTTTTAAAGTTCATCAGTTTCGATTAATCAATGGTTTTTTTGCCGCGTGCGCCCGGACGTCTGTTTGCATTGCGTAGGGTGTAAAAATTAATCGATGCGCGCTTTTAAAGTTCGTCAACATCGCTTATCGCCAATCGCGCGCAACATATTACAATAAAAAGGCCCCATCAAAAACTTTTTAGTTTCTTTGCGCGCGGCGACGTTATCGGCTCATAATATCCGTAGCGGACGTGTGACTTGCTGAGATAAAAGTGAATCTCCTTTTTTGTCGGCGGCGGCGGAGCCTTTTCATCGCGCGGGCGACGATTGCCGGCGCGCGCGAGTAGTGCGAATGTCACCACGCCGACGAAAGCTAATTTATATTCGAGCCGAACTTGCTGAAGTTTCGACAAGGCGCCGCGAAGTTTGCCGGCCGAAGTTTTCCACTCGCGCACAAAGGCGTCGAGCACCGCCATCGCGAGATCGCCGCACGTAGAACGCCTTACTAATATCATCGTTACCTTCTCCGGACGTCTCGTTCTCCTTCGTCCACCAGATCTCGTCCTCGTCGAAGTGCGCGTCGCCGCCTCGGCCAGAGCCTGGGAAGAATGCATGTGCCAGGATCTGGCCCTTGCCGTCGAAAGGGTAGTTGTCGCCATGGTCCCCCCTAGACACATAGATAATTAGAATCATGTCGTGAAATTGATGTTGTTAGGTCGCACCGGTGGAAGCTGATAACGATGTCCGCCTTGTCGTCGAACACTTCGGCGAAGGTGAGCTTAGAGTGGCGCGCCCACAAGTCCAATGCCTTCGAAAAGACATACCGAATTTCATAAGAGTTTGGCAGGTTACGATTCTTCAGGCTGAAACAATCAAGCAGCCAGAACTGCATAAAATTGTGCTCGCAATAAAGTTTATTGATTAGTGTCAGGACATTAATAGGACTAATGAGTTATAGTGGCGCGTTCGTTGGGTAGTTCGTCGTGTTCTTGTTATAAATGAAAATCAACTTCATTTAACATCCGGCCGAGTGCTTCGTAGTCGTAAATTTCGCCGGCGATGGCGCAGGCGAAAAGAGTGGAAGAATATTGTCGGCGCTGTTAAATGTCACTTAATTATCAGTCGCGCCGCCGGCGAAGCAAACCGCGTCAGAAACCCCCGTGCTGCCATCGGGGGCGGCGGCGACGCCGCTCGAACAAAATTCATATCTTCGTGAGCATTCCGCGCGGCCGAAGGACGGGCCGGCACGAGAGGGCTTCAATTCGATTCAATTTACGTACGCATTTAATATAAAGTGGCACGCATTAAATACATTACAGCGGCGAGAGGGACGTGCGCAAGGCGGCGGCGACGACGCCGTTCGTCAAATGCGTCAATTGCCTTTGCGTGCCCCCCAGTTAACGACGTTTGGTCGACATTAATTTCGCAGATTTTTTAATTTTACCGAAAGCGACGTTTCGCCGGCGCGGTATTTAGTGTTTTTTTTTTCTTTTATTGGGCGTTTGAGCGGCCGGACGTGCGGAGGCGGCAGGAAGCCGGAGCGCGGAAGGAAGCGCAGAAAGGAATGATATTAGTTAAGTGGAAAGTGGAAATAGGAATGGAAATGGAACGCGAGAAATAAAGAGTTCGCGCAGGTTTTCCCCCGAATTTTTTGCTTTTACATGTTAATTAACCAATTAAGCGACTTCGGGACTGTTAGTGCTAATTGCAAACGCAGGCAATTTGTGAATTTAAGAAAATTCGGATGCGAGAAACAGACGCCAACGATGCAGACGGGCTCAAGTGGAAAGAGGGCCGGTTAAGCTAGATCTAATGATACAATGAAGCATAAAAAATTAGAAAGGTAATTAGGCGGTGGGGCGGTAATAATTCGTAATTAGTATGCGCTGTCTGGTTCATCATCTGGTTGATGTTGATGCTGGGGGCTTCTCGTTGATGATGCCCACCCGGTCGCTCACTCAAGGAGGTTGTGATGACACATCTAAAGACACATCACACCCAGGTTGAGTGAGTCACCGGACGGACAGTCGTGCTCTCGACGCCGCCTCTATCTTCGGCGGCTTCCTTTCGGTGAAGGCACGCACAATCAAGTGCCGCGAAGGTAATCGCCGAGCATGCTGCGAAACTCGACGACAGGCAAATTGTCGCGCGCGCGCTTCTTCGCCTCACACCACCACCCTAGAGACCGCAGCCGCCCCCGCCACTTTTCCGCGCGGCGGGCGCGCGAATTGCATTAAATTACAGCGCAATTTCCATCGCCAATCGCTGGAGTAAATCGCACGAATCTACTTATCTGCGGCCTTATTTTCCTATTTTGCGAAATTAAAATAAAAAATCACCGCGCCTGATTTCGAAGCATTCCTCGGCATCACGGCAAATGAGAAAAGGTCAACGGAATGTGTCAACGACGGACTCTAGCCGACGTCGATACTTGACTAACGGCTTCATTGAAGCTCTTCCTTGTCTTCCCGTCGGCATGCCGCGGCGCGCTCGCACCTTTCCAGCACTTGTCTCGCCATTGTAATGAAGCGGGTTAGAAAGGGCGCGCGATGGAGGGAGTGCACTAAAAACCTCGCAATGTATGCAGGCAGCCAGGAAGAAGGTTAAAATTGTTTGCTGTGCTTTCTGTCGGTTTCGGGGCGGGAGCGTGTTATATATTTACGGCGCCGGCAACAAATGCACGTCGCGCCGAAGCGAAACGCTGCTTGGAAGGAAATGCCGTGACATAATAAATTTAACGTTGATCGAAGGATGTTTCCAATAGTGAACACGGTTTCCTAACGCTCCCTGGCGTTTCCCGCCGCGATATATACGGCGCGGGCGGATGGCAAAGGCGTTTAACTACCTATTCCTACAATTTCGACTACAATGCATACAGGTTGTTGCGCACGCCAACCCACAACGTACTGATTCCTAAAACATGAAATCAAATTTCATTTTGTGCCCGACGCGCGCAGCTGGTTACCATCGTTTGAGATTGTGGGCGCATCAGGAAGAGATATGCATAAATATTCACAACGCTGCTGCGATTGTAGAAGGAGCGGTGCGCGGCAAATCTCGACGGGTTTCGCAAACAACCCGTGTATTTAATATGAGATGAGCAACTAGAAGATTGAAAGACGCCACCATGAAGAGATGAGGTGCCAAGACGTCGTCCTCTATTAGATGCGGTAAATTTACGATTAATCCAATAAACTTCGGGGATATTGCTTTGCACTCACATTTGGGTTAGGTTTTCGTGGTGCTTTTACTTTGACTGCAATGCACGCGGGCGTCGCGATCTCATTTTCAGCAAGCGGCGGCGCGACACGACCCGCATCTCTTTTACATGCAGATTAACAACATTTCTGCGTCCGCGCGGAAGTCAATCCTTGATTTAAATGAAAAACAAAAAACGCGCGGCGCGGACACGCAAAAAGAAAAACTAATTAAAAAGTATATTGGATTTTATACTTTTCGACTGTTTTTCGCGGCGCGCGGTACCAAGAGGAACTCGAGCTGCGGTTTCCTTTTGTGAGCGCGCGGACGCGCGGAATTTTCGGGCCCAGTGCGCGTCTTCTTTTTGCGCCACGAACGCGTTTTGCTTTTTTGTTGCCCAGAAACTCCTCCGCGTCCTCGCGCCGCTCGTCAACGTTTTCAGCGCGTTCGTGCCTCTCGGTTTTTGTTTCGCGTTTATATTACTTAACGAACACAATACGCGAATGCGCGCTGCGAGAGAGCGCTTTCCCATTCTATTATAAAATTGCAAATTACAAATTAACGGGATAAGTCTCGAGCGCGGCGCGCAATGGAAGGAAAGCACGAACACGCGGAGAGCAAGTTCACCTTCGCCTGCAACCCGACGCAACACTGCTCGGTTTTTGTTGCTGCTTCGTTTCAAACCCCTAATTCCCTGCATGTCCGAGAGCACAAAGTGCACGCCTGCACGAGAACATGGGAATAACGAGCGGATAAACGTTGAGATGTTGAAACAAAACAAAACTTATTATTGGCTTCGTTGAATTCGTTCGGGAGATACGTTTGCAGCGCGTGGCATGCCCGCACCCTCACCGCCGACGTTGATCTATCTCCCAGATCGAAAAAGCGAATTGTATCTACTTCGGTAATTGCTATTAGAAGGAAAGGAAATTAAAACTGTAACCCAAAACTATTAAATTGGAAATTTCGAGCGCGCAGGCAAGCGAGTATTAACACGGCGGAAATAAAAGATTTTATAGATTTGTTGTTGATCAAAGTGAAGCGAGCGGAGCGACCGAAAGCGTCGCGTGTACATTGTAAGTTCATACAAGAAAAGAACATAAATGCGAGCGGGCCAGGCCCCGCTCGATGAAAACAAAATTAATAATAGAACAGTCAATTAAATAGACGCTGTGGAGGCTCGCATGACGTGTGCGTACGTAATTTACGAATTATTAACGATCAGCTCTCTCGGGGCACGAGGGCCGGCTGCGGGTAAACAGTAAAAAAAAACCGCGCGCCTGCTGATGCGTGTCAACGACGACGAGACGCGAGCGAGCAGAGCACTTCGACCACTTGATGATGGTGACTCCACTCGCCCGGACAGCGGCAGCGCTGGACTCGTTCGGGATGGCATCCGAATGCCGCCGTCGATTACAATGGCCCTCATTAACATCGAATAACGACGATTGGATGCCAATTGACCTAATGCTCACCGAGCGCTGATTCGGCTCGGCCGCTCGGGCATTCCGCCGTGCCGCTGACATATCTGCGCGAGCGAATATCTGCTTGATTGTTAGCACTGTTGGCAGTTGACGCAATCACGCAAACATTTGCATTGCGGATGGGGCGCCACGAATACCAAACGCCGAGGGATAGGTACAAAAATGCGATCTTAGGCATCGCGTCGATGCCCGGATTCCCAATTCCGGGCTGTTAAGCATGTAAATCGCGCGCTTCGAGTACGCGCGCGCCTCGAAATCGAATATTAATTGAAACCCGCTCGAAAAGTGAATTTGTTTAAAGTGGCGACGCGTTAGAACGAATTAGCAGACGGCCGGCAGGCCGGCCCGCATTCAATCCAAGCCACACTTCACAACCATACACAAATTAACCTATTTATTCAGCGCCGCTGTGAACTATTATAAACAATTTGATCGTGCATGAGACGCGTGTACAGCATTAAATTGATTTACGAGCACACATATTACATATGTACGCGGCGAGGCGCTGCGTCAAGCGCTCAATTTTTCTATTCGCTTCCAAATGATTTGATTCTATCGATTCTTTTCGGTTCTTTTGCGTTGGTCGCTTCTTGTGCGGTGCCACCCACTATTGTCGATGGCGTGCATGCATGAAGTACTCAATTGTGAATTAAATTTTAATCTGGCCCTGCGCACGTGTGCGCAGTGTATATTACGATGAAATCAAGTTGATGAACACTGACGATCATTTTCGACCAAATAAAAACGAAACATTGACGTAATCGCATTTCTTCAGTGGCGTAATTAAAGTGGAGACTCCGCCGACGTCGTCGTCGTTGTTGTCGCTGTTGACTCAAAAGCTAATAAAACTTTCGAGCTTGATATTAAAAAACTACGACGGTAAACACTAAACGTCGGCGAGGAAAGTTCCCGAAGACAATTTGCAAATGCCTGAAGGTGTTTTAATAACCGTGCGTCGGCGACGACGACTTAACGGCGGCCCGAACGACGCAGTGATAATTTCCAATTTCCTGGCAATTTACGCGCGACATTAACAATTAACAATTTGTGATTACACGCGAAAATCCCGCCCGGCTGACCGTGCACGCTCGCAGATAAATAAATAATTGTCATGCACACGCGTTCTTTTCATCGGCGCGAGTTTTGAATCAAAATTTATGAGAAACTTTTTTGCGAGCAAG